GAATAGCCATTATCCGTGGTGGATCCTATTATCAACCTAAAAATGGACAATACTTCCCACAAGCCTATCGTAACGATGAGCATGGTAAATATATCCTGATGTCACCCTCCGTTGATCGATGTGCCACCATCGGTTTCCGTTGTGTTAAGGATACGGAAGAAAGTGCTGCAGCCTTGGGCAATTGCTTATTTGATGAATGTTAACTCTATTAATACCTATTTTATTTTTCTTTTTACCCCTCATAAATAAATGCCATATTGCATAAACATATCAAATATAGAAATCTGTTTATTTCTGCATTGCGTAAATTAGATGATCTAACCAAGGCCATTAAAGACTACTTGTTAATAAACATAAAAGTAAAAACTTAAATTTCCACCAAAGGAAGAAACCATGTTTGATACGGCGATTAGATTGCAGTAGGACTCTATCCTGGAAAAACCTTGATTCTAGAATGTCACGCCTACCCAGGAAGGGTTATGGAGGAATCAAGATCTGACTGTACAAAATCATTGCTTTTTGAAGGGAGCAGGAAGATCCTTACCTGCTGCCATACGCCTAGAAAGGTTGTATATGTTTTTTGGTGTGTTGAGGTCTTTATTCTACATCATCCCACAGTTTTGGCAGGCTAGGACACTGTGAAGACCACAAAATGCTTGAGTAAACGACATTTGATTGCAATGGTGACATATCTAATGCAACAAGATTGAAAAGGTTAGTAAACAATATCAAACATATTATATGTATCTTAAAATACTGAACTTGGATGCCCGATATTCATCCACAAGTGCTACTATTGTCTCTCCACTCTTCTGCATCTTCTTTACAGTAGACTCTCGGTTACAGGGTACCTATCGGGAGCACAAATGATATTTCATAATCAAGGATATTCCATAATATAGTTTATACATCGACAATCCAAGTGAATATCGCAGGAAATTTAAAACGGTGGTTGTGAAGTCCTTCGAAAATGGCATTCCATGATCGCGAATATTTCGTATTGCTGTATTCTATAATCAAGAGTCTATCGTATTTGTTAAAATCTTTGCAAAGATACCTTTAGTGAGCTTTGTATAGATTTACCTTTACGTGCGTCAGGACCATATTTTACGCACCAACTGACCTCTTTCTCCACAGCCTGTACAAACTAAATAACAATAACGATAAACAACTGTAAGTATTGCATATAGATAAAAACAAATAAAACACAGTGATTCAACCTACCCCTTGCCTCTTTTTGAGCTCTTTTACGGCTTTGAGTTTGTTTAATAATTATACGACATTGCTTTTAGAAAAAACTGTAGTAGGATGTGAATAAGAAAAAATAGGAAGAGGAAAGAAAACAGTAAGGAGACAACATAATGAATGGTTGTTGTATAATCTGCTGGTAACATTTGATAAATAGCTTTCATATATCATCTGGTTATCTTTTGGTTACTTACGATGCTCAAACACACACTCAAGTTTTCTTTATGCAACGTCTAAACTTTAGACATGTTAAATTTATATTACCCATAATCACTTTCAAAATGAAGTCAACATTTTATACAACAAGTTCCATAGTTTAAGAACAGCCAGTAAAAAAGAAAGAGTTTTCCTTTTATCTGTATTAGTTGTAATCAATGTATGGGCTAGATCGTTCACAAAGCTTGCTCAGATGCTTCCATTGCAATGTATCTTCAATGTTGTATTACATCTCGAAATGATTTTTGATTGGTTCAGAAGCTATGTTCAACTTGTCTCGTTTTAGGTTAAAAATCTGTAAACAAAAAACCACTTTGCCTCAGGACATACAAAAAATCATTGTTAAAAATGTATTGTTCAGCCATTGTTCTAACAAAAAGCGGGGAAAGACTGTAATAAACTAAAAGTGAACATGTAAAAAAAGTTCGAATCGATTAGTTGCTGTGATTCAGACTGTTCCAATGCTTTTTTATTCTTTCTCTCTCTCGACAAAAAGGGTACATAATAACCTAATATTCTATAATGCGCTATTTTTTGAAAAAGACACCAACTGCCCGAGTGTCCCAACAATATCCTCACTGGATTCAACACTATATTTTGCCTTTGTCTTCTTTGTCAACGGTCCCACAGACACACAGAAGGCTTGTCGATCCCCTTCGAGCGCTTTAAACATGTCTTCATCTGTTTGATCATCACCAGCACATAAAATGAAATCATAATTCTCATTCTCTTTAATCCTCTTTACCACTTCTCCCTTGTTCACCAAGATCGACCTGGCTTCGACATTCATCTTTCCAATCAAAATATCTACGCCGACGATACTCTTGAGCTCATCAAAACACAGCTGAGATTGCTGGGTACTAATAATAATGAGTCAACAATCAAAATTATACATACACACACATACGCTTTCTGTATATCAGATGCATTTCGATAATGCCAAGTGATCGACGACTTCTTTTGCTCAATGACTGTGCCAGGATTACTCTGTGTGTATTTTTCAAATATAGCCAGCGCCTTTTCCTTCCAAGACATGTCTGCGTCCTTCAACATATCCGTCCAATCATAGATGTCGGCTTTTTTCATAAACGAGCCGTGTTCTGCACTCAAGCCTAAACGTGGTATTTTTGAGCCGAGGTATGTATCGAGAAAGAGCTGATCACGACCCGAGATGATCCAGGTGGTATTAGCGGGATCTTTACAGAGCAGTTGAAGACAGTGTAGTAATGCTGATGTAGGTTGAGCATCGGCTGGATTGTTGACGATGGGAGTCAAGGTGCCCTTTTATACGATCAATACTGATAGAAAACAAGTCAGTCTCTGTTACGCTTACGTCGTAATCAAATAGAAAGAGTCGTTTTCGCGCTGCTTTGTATGTATTGACTAAAGAAGTTGTATTCAAGGGTTTTGTATACTTGTTCATAAGAAAAAGAAATATGTATTTAATAGTTTTTAAATAGAACTAGTTTTTACATTGGTTGTAGATTCGATTCCCTTGTTAGAATCAAGTTGTTGTTGTAGTATTTGCATAGAAAATAAAAAGAAAGAGATAAAGAAGAAGAGAAAAAAAGGGAAAAAAAAAGGGAAAAAAGAGATAAGAAGTAACTTAGTGACTGGGTAACACAATGATAATTTTTTATTCTAATGGTTGATGCAATGTAAACTGTACATGTAAATATGAATATGCAAAATATATAAAAAAAAAAGTATAATTAGACGACACTTTCTTTTTCTATGTCGATCTCTTGCTTTGTAGATGCAGCTGCAGGTGAACCACCATAACGAACAGGCTTGAAGAAGATTGCTACCACAAGGCCAAGACCAGCTGCGACCAAAGGAATGATGAACAAATTATGCATGGCAGCAGCATAGGCATGAGTCATAGGTTGTTGGTATTCAAGAGGCATTTTGCGAATAAACAGATAGTTCTTTAATGCACCATATTCATTAGCTACCTTGAGTACTTCCGCAGGCAATCCTGCATATTGAGCCTTGACAAAGGTAGCTGAAAGGGTTTGGTATATACATACACCCACGGAGGAAGAGAGCATCATGAAGAAGTTGACACAGGTTGTGGCGACTGCAATATCTTTTAAAGCGACGCTCGATTGGACAGTAAAAATGGCATTCTGATTGGATAGACCAAAGGCCAGACCTCCAAAGGCAAGAAAGCCTGCCTGTTGGCCCCAGTTGCTGCTAGGATTAACGAGTTGGAACAAGCCGTAACAGATCAAGTTGGAGGCACCAGCAAAGATGATAAAGTATTTGGGGTAAGGGAATATTTGAATCAAGATACCACCGCCTACGGATGCAGCAATCAAGCAGACCATGAATGGGATCAAGCGGAGACCTGATTGGGTACTATCAGCTCCAAACACGGCTTGAAAGTAGACCGGGCCAAAGTACAGAGTACAGATAAATGTAAGACCAAGGAAGATCATGTAAAGATAAGCAGTAGTACATGCAGGGTTCAACAAGATTTGAGCAGGTAAAAGCTAATTAAAAAATAAGTACCGTTTTGATGAATACACCAAAGTAACTTACAGGTTCTTTAGCAACCCAGCCTTCGACATAAACTAGAGCAATAAAAGAAACACCAGAAGCCACAAAGGAACCGATGCAGTGTCCGTCATTCCAACCATAGCTGTTTCCCCAACTGAGGGCAAGAAGTAAACAAACAACAAAACCAGTGGCGAAGAGGGTACCAAGGTAATCAATTCGCTTCAGCTTGTGAATAAAGCTCTCTTGAGCGACATTCTTAGGAGATTTCAGAAAGATGAAAATGATGACAAATGCTATTCCAGACAGTATCACGTTCAGCCAAAAATCCCAGTGCCAGGAAGCGTGATCGACAAAAGCGCCACCTAAAAAAGAAAAAAAAATATTAGTTTTTGAAAAAGCGCGCGGTTCTTTAATATCATTACCGATCAAGGGACCCACCACGCTGGCAATACCATAGACAACACCAAGGATAGACTGGAATCGAGGACGAAGAAGGACAGGTGTAACGTCAGTGACGGTGATATAAGTCATGGACATGACTCCGCCTCCACCAAAACCTTGAATGACTCGACCAGCGATCAAGATATTGATAGAATTAGCAACAGCACTGATAATTGATCCAATAAAGAACGTGGCAATAGCAAATAAAAAGACAGCTTTTCTACCAAAGATATCCGAAAACTATGAAACAGTAAGTACATGTTTTCTGTGTGAAATTGTATTAGTCAACTGTTTACCTTGCCGGACAGAGGTTGGAATGCATTGATGGCAACAAGATACGCTGTTGCTATCCATGTTTGATTCTCGGTCGCATTTAATTGTGTGGCAATGATACCCATAGCAGGTGCAACCAAAGTAGAATTAAGGGACATCATAAACATGGCAAGACAAATGCCAGTGATGAGGATAGTAAATCGAAACATTTCAAACCTTGTTTCAAAGTTTTCGCTGTATTGGTTATTTGATTCCTTTGAGACGTAAATGGTTGGTTCATTCGCTTGAGAATCGTTGGACGAGCGCTGGTCTAAGTCAATACTGGAAGGCATGTTTAGTAAAGAAAAAGGAAGAGGTAGAATTCGATCTGATTTTATACTTGCGACTTCAACATAAAGAAAAGTGGGTGATCTTGTGCAACAGCGGAAATTCGTCTTGCCGAGTTTGGTTTGATTGTCTATTGGACAGAACAAGAGGCGACCTCCTTTCTATCCGTACTCGGGCATAAGGTTCAGCCATAATGAATGTCTATATTTAGCAATTAGAATACCTGGAATAATTAACAGTAACAATGGAATAATCAACTCACCTGATTTCTTTGTAAATTCTAATACTGAGAAGGAAGAAAGAGGAATACATATAAAAACTTTTACGAAATAGCTTCGTTGATGTAACTGTTGTTGTAGTAAATCTAAGGGTTTGACCCAAAGTATTTTCTTGTCTTTTTTTTTCTTCAGAGACTTGACTGTATAGTTGCCTATTTAGCTGAGAAATCACCGAACAAGCAGCTTAGCCTCTTTATAGAATATGCTAATCTAGTGTTGCTGGCGATTACAAGCGACGAGGAGGGAGGCTGGGAAGGCGGTATAGTCTGATTTTCGTCTGATGTGCTTGCACTGATTTTTGGTGCACGCCACCTTAGCTTTTCTTCAACAGTATGTACTAGCATTTCAATGTTGTGTTGAAAAGCTAAATGCTTTTCAATACCATCGATAAAACCATCAGGATTTTCGCCTGTATACACGACTGTAAAGCCAGTCAAAAATAAAATGCTACGTTTCAGTGTGAGTTTTGCTTGCATAGACAATCCATGACTGCTATTTACATGCAAATGTTGTTAGCGAGAATATTCATCGTTATCATCAGTACTCTTGTTCTTATTCTCTTCTGATGCAACAGAGGAATATATACTCTACTACCATTATCTCATCAAACACGTCAAACATACTCCTTTTCGCCACAGATATTTGACATCGTCTATAATCTGAGGTTGAATAAATAGAGAAGTGAACTGTGTAAACGCGACAAATAATTGGTGTAATTCGCGTTTTCCTGTTTGTAACTGGCGCTTTTGTCATGATTTACATTAAAAAAGAAGTTATGATTAACACTAGATGCGCGATTAGCATCATGATGAGCTTTTACATGACTTTTTTTGTCCATTAACATGTATTTCTTTTTTAGTAAAATGCAGGCAATCAGGAAATAATACACGTTCAATGCTAAATATATTATACACCCCTTAATTTACCAAGTGGAAAATATAACGATCGTTTTAAACGCAAAAAGCTGCACTTTCCACGTGAAGCAGAACATTGGACATGAACAATATGACAGGAGCAATGAAAGATCTCTCTGCAAATTGATTACATTCCTTTTTTTATATTTTTTGTCATTAAACTTTCTTTCTCCCTATAGCAGCTATTTTTAGATTTGCATCTTTTGTGCATAAAATGATCAAGCTAAAAGCAAGTCACGATTTTTATTTTCTGTATGGTGCATCTGTGCCTGTGTGTGTGTGCCTGGTAATTTTTATTTTTTCATGTTTATGTTAAAACAGACAGGGTCCAAGTGGCGCTTGACGCTAAGTAAGCACGTTTCCTTTTTCAGCACACAGAGCAATGTCATCACAGACATGACTCAACGTGGACTTTTATTTCAAACAACAAGGTAATCCTTAAAGCAACGAACAGCAGCAACAAAAAATGCTAAAAATGGGAGACTTTTAATATAGCCCTGACATCATCAAAAGAACAGAAGCACCCACTACTATTTATTGTGGAGTCGATCCTACAGCCAAGAGTCTTCATTTAGGTAATCTCGTCACATTAATGGGCCTGCTTCACTTTCACATTCGTGGCCACCAGACAATCGCACTTGTAAGTTTGATTCATATTTTGGGGACTATTGTCTCTTTTATAACAAGAGTAGGTAGGAGGGGCAACTGGAAGCATTGGAGACCCTTCTGGTCGCAAGTCAGAGCGAGTACCACTGACAAAGGAAGTGCTGGCAACCAATGTGGCGGGTATTGAAAGTCAAATTCATCGTTTCTTCAAGAATGGTGCTACCTATGCTCGTCGAAGAGGATATGATGGAAATGAGCGCACGCCAAAAGTATTGAACAATTATGACTGGTTTAGCTCGATGACAGCGCTTGATTTTTTGAGCGACATTGGTCGATACGCACGAGTGAACACGATGCTGGCAAAGGAAAGGTAAATGAGAAGGTAATATATGTTGAAAAAGAATTAATATAGAATAGCGTCAAGTCACGTATAGAAAGTACTCAGGGTATCAGTTTCACAGAATTTTCTTATCAACTATTACAAGCTTATGATTTCTATTATTTATACAAGCATCATGACTGCCGCGTTCAGGTAATTTAGTAAAATATTAATGCGAGTTATATAATAAACCATTATATTAGTTGGGAGGAAGTGATCAGTGGGGTAATATCACAGCAGGTATTGATTTGATATCCAAGAAGAGACAAGATGAAAAGGAAGACATTCAATCACGGGCATTTGGTATCACCATTCCACTCTTACTTACATCGACTGGAGAAAAGTTTGGAAAATCAGCAGGTAATGCAGTGTGGTTAGATGAGACGATGACAAGTGTCTATGACTTTTATCAGGCAAGTTCTCTCCTTGAAATATAAATGTTCTATCGTGTTGATTTCTCTATAGTTTTTGATGAGGTCATCAGATGATGATGTAAGTAAATATCTACGCATGTTTACACTATTGTCACCAAACGAGATAAAAGATATAATGGATGAACACCAAGTAATAATAAGATAGTACAGAAAAAACATATGAATATGAATATAACCCTTTTTATAGAAATCACCTGAGCTCAGAATAGCACAAACCAAGTTGGCAAATGAGACAACTGAGTTAGTTCATGGATGTAAGTATATAAAAAAAGGCATGGCAAGGGTCAATCTAACCTTTTTCAGCCGATGGACTACAAAGAGCACAAACAGCTACACGTGTCTTGTTTGGACAAACAGATTCACTTTCAGGCGATCAAATTATTCAAGCCTTTAAAGGGGACAAACATCGTTTCACTCAATTAGAGAAATCACGTTTGATTGGAGCAGGTTTAGATCAAATCGCTGCCATGACAAATGCAGTAAAATCTAAATGTAAGTTATTGTTGTACTCGAGAAACATGGGGTAATTAATCATACAAAATAATAGCTGAGGCACAAAAGAAGATGAAAGCAGGTGGATTCTATTTGAATAGTACCAAGATAACACATCATCAGACAACACTGACAGAACAAGACTTGATTGATGGGAAAGTGGTCATCCTTCGTATAGGCAAGAGTTCATTTTATTTAATAGAGGCTATTTAAAAAAAAAAAAGTAAGCTTAATAGAATTAAAGTTTTGATTGGTTATTTTATTGTATCACATCATATGTTTAAACAATGCTGATTACCTTTTTTTATTCATGTCTTTCATGTGAAACGACAAATGGGAAACGCGATCTTATAAAGAGCCTCTCTCCTTTTTTTTATGAATTTCTCTCTCTTTTCTTTTTCTTTCTGTTTTTTTTACATTGTTATGTCATCTTGTCACTCATTCCATGAATGTCCGCTTCGCTCCTATTCTTTATTGATTATCAACAAGGAAAAGCAGACCATTGTGACAGGGACGGATGAACTATTTGACATCTTGGGATATAAAGAACCACATCAACTCATAGGGAAATCTATTCACTTACTCAATCCACAAAAGAAAAAGGACCACTATGTACTACAACATACATCCTCTCGTCATATACCCTTCGAGATTTGCATCCATCATGATCCACTTACAAACGCAAAGGATTTGGACTATTGGCTCATACGTCCACTCGACAACCGTCATTCGAATACACTCGGCCCAGTCACCATTCTGAGATTGAGCCCCTTTGGCACAATCGAGAACGCATATCCTTCCGTTGACTTTCCTCAAAAACATACTGAACTGCAGCATCAACCGATCATGTCTTTTATTCATGAATCAGACTTGATCACTGTCTGTCAGAGACTAAGCAAGACAAGATATAGATCACATCATACCTTACGTATACGATGGCTAGACCATCATCCTCGGCAATCAAAGCACCAAACAGCAGATGCCTTTCAGTGGGTAATGCTCACCGTTATGAATGCACCTCGAAGATTATCATGCAGCTCCTTGGATGATCCTCAGTCTCGACCTATATGCATCGTTAGAGTTCTTTATGATTCTCCAGAGGAAGCACCTCCTCCCGTCTCGATTAATGACTGTTTACGCCTCGCTTGTTTCGAGGCCATACACTTGCTCACTAGTCAACTCAGTCAGGGCACCCTTCAACTTCATAATTGGATTGATTCCATTCATGCAGCTCTCGATCAGGGCAAGGCTTATCTTTTAGAATTTATTGCCCATCTATTAAGTTATGTTCTCGACTTCACCAACGAACTCGGTATACTCTATCATCCGCCTATTCAAGAATGCTCAACCAAAGAGGACGATATGGATATGGAAGATATGATAAGCAAAAAGAAATATAAAGTTTATTCAAATACGACTACACCTATGATTAAAGTATATGACAACAATAAGCAACTATGGTCAATTCCTCTGCTCAGAAAGAACTGTTATCAAAAACTATAAGAAGCAAAACAAAACAAAACAAAAAAAAACACTCTCTTACTTTCTTTATGATGCAACGTTCTATATTTATGCTCATCTATAGTCTCCCTTTTATCCCCTTTTTTTTCATCTCCTTTTTGTCGCTTTGTATATGGTTCTCATTATTAATTTGTAAATTTTCTTATATATAAACACTTTATGCATTTCCCCTTTCTTTGGGCTTAGTCACATGATTCGATTCATTCTGTAATGTAATAAAAATAGAATAATAGAATAAGTAGATACTAGTCCATTTAATGCCCATTCATCATGAAGAGGCATTGGTTATCTGCTTATAAATGACGCTCAGGGATACTTTTACCCTAAAAAAAGAGTGGAAGATAGCATTCAATATACCCTTTAAAAGAAAAAGGAACATTAGATGCAGAAATAAAATCTCTTTCCATAGTAAGATGCAGATAACATATTTGCAATAAGTATCATTACATCTGATAAAACACATAGCAAGATAACTTACAAGCGTCTCTTCATTAACAGATTCATCGATGCAAGTCACATTTACGTTTTCTGCACTTGTGTGTCTGCTTGGTCTCTTTCTTGTTCTTTATTTTTGGGGGACCTGTCATGGGTGAACTGTCAGAGCAAGAAAAATTAGAAAAAAGACGTGCTAGACGACAACAAAGAATCCTAGCCTCGGCCGAAAGTAGACTGAACAAGATCACAGGCAGTCAATCAGGTAGATAGAAAAAAATAAAGCGTATATAATACATGTTATTAACTCATCAATCCAGCTTTTCGTTCATCCCCAACTCCTTCTCCTTCCAACTCTACAAGTTCATTTCAAGAGACAAATGTCAGTTCACTAGCAGAACATTACCCTTCAGCTCAGGATCCACGTCGTCAGAAATATGAAGAGAGACTGACACCGCCACCACCATCACCACAACCCACAACATCTGCCAGTCGGGTTCAGCAACATCGTCCAGAGGTTCAAAAGAGAATTGAGGAAGAAAAGGCAAGAGAGCTGAATGATCATGGATTCCTCGGCGGACGTGTGCCTCAGATCCTACTCGCGACTATGCTACGGCGAACGAACCCACAGGAGCGAATGAATCAGAAATCAGCACGTCTCCCAGCTAATAAATATTGGAATCTGCTACATTTTGTGGCCATGGTCTGGTTAGGTGTTTGTGCGGTCTGTAGTCAGTGGTCGACTTATGGAGCAAGTGGTGTTTGTGACTTGATCCATCAAAACGAGACATATGATCATAACACAGTATATTATGTAGGAAGCACTCTTTTGTTTTCACTAGCGCGCTGACAACTTTTTTTTTTGGTATAGCCCGTGTTTTGGTATTTTGTCACCATACAATCATTATTGCACTTTGCCAGAAAAGTCTATCAACCTGTAAGTTTTTTTTTTTATTTAAATAGGTTACTTATTCTAAAATGCGAGTTGTGTAGGAGTATAAAATAACAGATGAGCTGACATTTTCGGGTATAGTGTCTCAACTACCAGAGGCATTACAAGATCCCGCCTGCTTTGTACAGAAATACGGTGTGATAATTAACGAGATATTTAGGGATTTGTGTATAGTTGTGTTTGTGATAGGATTCATATCTTTAATGACATCCTTTGTTTATTAATATGATTAAAGTTGCATAAATGACTCTTTTACCTTTGGTATAAATATGCAAAAAAAGAAAAAAAAAAAAAAATACTAGTTGGAAGTAGACTGGAATCGGTAAATGCCTTTTCTATAAATAGCTGATGTAATGATAAACAGGCAAAGGCCTGCAGCAATGGCGCCTGTAATGAACGTATTCCTAAAGCAGGCCATGCCGTGACACACCTGTCCACCCTGGCGACTCAATTCACGGTCATAGACAATACCAAATACAAGGTTAAACAATTGGCTGCCAATGGCTGGAGCACACAACATCCATCCCCAATTTCTAGCAAAAGTCTATACCATTTCCTCAAAAATTAATTATGTTCTTTCAAAAGAGAAACAAGCTTACCTTTATACCAAATTCACTAATGATAGCTGGCGCAATGGCAAAGACGATACCGTAAACAATGGCAATGGCAACACTGTATGTCATCAAATCTTTGTCACTTGATACGGATATAGGAAGGGAGACCATACTGGTCATAAGACCAACAGCAGCAAACCAGATGAACCACATCCTGTGGATACCTATTCTTCTTTGAAATACGTCACTGAGTGTGCCGAACACGGCTCTTGAGACACAATTAGACACGCTAAATATGGAAATGTGCAAATTACGAAGATGTTGTGCTTCATTGGGCGTGAGATGATCTGCTGAGAGTGAGATGAGTAGACCGCCAATGTTTGTTAGATAGACGTAGCCCAGGCCCAAGATGATCAAAAGAGAAAGACATAATGAGAATCCGATGGGATCTAGAAAGACAATGAGACCGGACAGGTTGATCTCCTCATCGTCAATTTGAATATTCTTTGGATAATTAATAACATTCTTAGACGGCACACCTTTAGCGTCCTGCGCTTCTTCCTCATATTGAGTAGATGACGTGCTAAAACTGTAAACGCTATCTGCTGTTGATGCATAATTGGCTGAGTTGGAAGCCACAAGAGGTTGTTGCTCCGTCAAGGGCAATTTATGCTTTGTGTGTTCAATGGGACCCAGGATAAATGACCCTAAAAAGGTCACGGCGGCCGCTGTGCAGCCAAAAAAGATGAGGAATTCAAAGGTGCTGTTGTCATGTCCATCCTGATCTCCTTTGGGTTTAAATAATTTATCGTTGATTTGTGAGAAAACAAGTCCACTGATGCCCAATGAAGCACTTGTTAGTCCCATGCTCATGCCCCGATACAATTTAAAATTGTATGCCTGTGTTGTATACATTAGAATGGGTTGTCTTTTATATATTGCGTCTTACTTGTGAGTCTAAGGTACAGATGTATGCAGCAGCACTAGCAGCGCCCATGCAGATCAAATAAAACGCACACAGTAAGTAGCTGCTTGGTAATCGATCTTGGTAAGTAGCAGCCAAAAGAAAAGTGCAAATTGAAGTAATAAGGGCTGAAATAGCCAAAGTTCTAAAACAAGTGTTTAACGTCAACTTTTTTCCCTCTCTCATTGATTTATCCATTTTTTTTTTTTACATTCTGAACCCATAATTCTCCACTAAATAGGCACATAATGGCCCTGAGAACGATACGCCAACAAACACAGATGTACCCACGACACTGTTTTCGATCGAACTCCAGTGAAAACGGTTTGCTAAAGACGGGCCAAAGGTAGGGTAGACATATTGCGGCCCTGATACATTGGCTACAAGAAGCGCCGTTAAAAATGAAGCAGCAAGAATTATATTTCTATTGTTCATTCGTCTTCTATAAAAAGAATAAAAAAAGAAAGAAAGAACGACAAAAAAAAATAGATAAGAGAATTTCGCATAAATAGACACAGATCGGTTCCCCGATTGCCTTTTAAGTTCCCGCCTCTCTTTTATACACTGTGGGGAAGAAATGAGAATACCCTTTCAGAAAAAGATATTTATAATATATGCATTTTGACCAGATTTCTTTGTGTGTATGTGCGCATGCAGTCCAACAATAGAGGCCAAATAAAATGAGATGGAATAAAGTGTAGAGCTTTTATTTGTTCATGCAGTGAAGATATAAACAACATACTGATAACAACGAGAGTACTGCAATACTTACTGCAAATGCATGTAAGCATGTAATAACATCACATGGTCACTATTTCTAATCCCTAAGGATACAATATCATCATATTTTTGAAAAAAATAATAACAAACAGTCTGTGCGTAAGCATGGTCAAAATTTGCTGGCTCTAAAGGGACAGTTCCAAATAACTGATATAAATAGCAGACTTGATGCTAAATTTACTTATCGTCCAAGCAAACAGGAAACCTGATATAAATACAACAGTATGTATTTTTTCTTGATATATTAATAATACATTAAAGCTTGAATTTTCTTTAAAAGTCTGACAACAATATTTTTATATGTCATTGATTTGATCTTTCTCGTTTTTGTATTTATTTTCCATATACCAAGCCTTAATATGTACCAAAGCTACCATTAAGAACAAGATAGAAATAGCAATAGAAAGAAAGAAAAAGAAAGCTGTAATACAAATAAATGGTTGAATAACAAGCTACGTTATATTACTATCTAAGGTGCTCCGCCTTTCTATGCCTAGGGATGTTTCAAGAAGCCTTTGTTGACAATCATATGCATATAAGCAAAGACGCGTTATTGAAACGCATGAGCCAATAAAGAGTTACCTTGACCGTTGTCCGGATGTGCTAGCCAATAAAATGTCATTATTTGAATTACCGACTGTCAACGCTTTAGAGTATTTCTGACCTACCTCTTTTTTTTCCCTTTTTTTCTTTTTCTTTTTCTTCTTTACAGATACTCCTTGCTTTTTTTCTCCCTGTGACGATGCTTTGTGTTTTGACTCTGTTCATCCTTTAGAGGACTGAACACGCTCTCTGTTCACGCTGTAATCCTAGTACGGTCATGTTGGTGATTCAAGTGACTTGCAGATTCTGGGCTGGCTACATCGGTTGGGACCAGGCCCTGTTATGTGATTAACCGCTTTGCCCTTTATCTGTGAACAGAGAAATGCTCTCTAAGTGTGGCTACTCGAATAAATGCTTATGCTGTTACTAGGCGGTATCGAACCAAAAGCTATTTTGGGTAGTTTGCTGAGTCAAAACCTTCTTCTGAGCTTGCGAGACGACTGGTAGACGAGGTTGGGCCTATCGATAGCTACTTGTTGGCAGTCTGTCAATCCAGCTGATAAGGACAGTGATCCTCTTACCTGGGGCAGAGGCTCTCCTAGATCTATTGGTTTGGGGCTGTTCAACTTGTACTTTCTAGGTTTTTCAGATGTATAAGTTCATTCTTGATACATTACCCCCTTTTTTATAAGGTATATACACCATTGACATTCAGTGTATACCTTCTTTTTGGGATCAGATGTACTCTTACCTTCCCGTGGTTGATCCTGTTAATCAAGACTATTATTGTCTTGAGAACTGAAAGGAGTACGCTTTTATTACAAATAAATGTAAATAAAAAAAGTTGATGAATAAATGACGCGTTTTTCTTATTCATTACGTGTGTGTTTATGTATGTATGTGTATGTGATTATTTGATGATAGCATCAATCATGCGCATTATTAAGAATATAAAGTAGCCTTGACACTATACTCTCATTATTACTCTAGAGGATCTCCCATAGCTGTAACTTATAGTTTCTTTTCTTTATAACACAGGTACGAAGTCATTATTCTTTTTCTAAGGCAAGGTTTGAATAATCATCAGATGCAGCTGTACGCACATCTAGCTTTCGTTACAAGGTTTTAACCTAAAGTGAGACATTTGGAAGTTTATTTGAGACAATTAGAATTTTGAAATTAGACTACGCGAAAAAAAAATAGTCAGACCTTGTCATATTTAAGTAGCTAATAAGCAAATATGCAAACTGATAAACTAACTATTACAGCACTTTAGCAGGACCAACTGGAAATGGTAAATCATGGAGGGTTACATGGTGTCATTCAAAGTTACGTAGCCTTCCATGAATATCTCGATACTCTAAATAAAACATGAATTGTAAAAATGTATCTGTTTTTTTTTTTTACCATGAGCAATTCAAGGCAAATGATTGACTAAAACATATAGCGAATCGCAGTAATATGATGTTTTTGTGGCCATTTTAGGTGATTGTATTTCATATAATCTTTGGTAATTTTACACCCTTTTCTTCAATTGTTTTGATGCTCAGGCAATGTATAATCGTCTCTCCAACTCCATATTTATCGGCGTATTCACGCTCTGTTTTTACTTCTTAGAGTTAGATGACTTTGATAGTCAGAAAAAGCCCTTGTAATAATATCTTTAAATCTAATTACTCTATCAATATTTTCATCTTGCATTTACAGGAATGATTCCAATTGCTTGTTAGTAAATATGATAGTTTATTGATCTAGTGTCGCATTTTATGATATGCTCAGTAACCATTTCAACGTATCCGCGGCTTATAAGAGATGTAGAATAAAGAGACTTTATTAAAACTACGAATAAAAAAGCGTAACTCAGAGAGGATTGATTACACGTGAAGCCGAAATGAAGGCAACCAAGGTTGAACTAGGGACAATGTTCAAAGAAAGAAAAAAGGGAACCTGATAATGCGCAAAATTCGCTTCAAATCAGGCTCAAAATGTGTAGTACATGTGTATTCGGAACAAAGCTAGAAAGGGAGCAATATATTTGCCGCTTACACATAGCTTTACGGGTATTTCGTCTACATTGATTTTAGTGGTCATGACAATGACGGTAGGCACGCTGTAACATTCGTAAGTTGAACCAGCATACCAATAAAACTACTTTTCCATTGCCTCATATCAATGAGCTGTTGAACTCTAAAGAGCTTGCTCCAGCTTCACAGACAAAGAAGCAAAAAATAAACAAGGTAAAGGGATAAAAAAAACAAGAAATGAATAGCGAAAAGGTGGAATCAGCCAATGCAGCGACAAAGCTTGATACCTGATCAATGAATGTGAGCATAGGGAAAAACTAGCAAGTGCATTTCTGCTCGGAAGATAGGCTTAGTTATTAAGTTGGCGACAATCGATATCCATAATGAGCCTAACTTGGTTGAACTTTCATATACATTCAGCAGAACACGAGCAATCCCTCCCTTTCGAACATTCTTCGAATAGCTCATTTTACATAATAGGTTACGCAATTTTTAGAAACACACATTGGCACAAACAGAAATTGTTGATGAAAGGTGCCGTGCGAATGTGGGGTTTTTAGTCTTTAAACCTATTTCTGTACACTTTGATATTTATCCATAAAAGGAAAGTTAGTGGACGGAAGAAGAGAAAAAGCTTTACTTAAAAAGAATGAAAAAAGATTATGTGATAATGTCATAAATCTGCCTCGTGGCCTATCTTAGTGCGCTCGGATTGTAATTAGCCATCAATAGAGATCAGTTATAGGCTCAAGAATGCAAAAGTCAACATGCATGTCATACGCTTTTGGTATCATGTTGGCTAAGAAATCAGTATCAACAGAGTCCTTATCCTCTTTTTCTGTTTCATCACTTGTCAAAGTTTATTTTTAGCTGTCCAACGGGAATTACACACTGTGTCAAACTCTCTGTGGCATAGTTTATCACTGTCGTTTTATCACGGTTATCTTTTTCAGGATAAGTCATTAATTGTTAACTGCAAGTAAGTCATTAGTATCATGACGCGTGTACGTGTATGTGTATATCCGTTTCTTTTTTTTTTTGTTTTTTTGTGTGTGCAGATCAATGACCTCAGCATAGTTTAATGTGGTCTGGACGCCATAAAAGCATTCATCTAAATAAAAGCTTTTTCCGAACATGCTATTGACAAGCGAAATTTAATTTGACATTTCGTTTGGCTGCGTTTCAATTTTATCTAATTTAAATTACAAATATTAATTTAACGTAATCCTTAGGCAATAGATAAGGTAAAATAGGAACCATGAAACAATCTAATAAAAGCTATAATTCACTCCATGAGAGCAAGTCTTAGTTTTGCTCAATTAAGAAATTTGGCTTGGTTCAGGGTATTGTTGTTTGTAAACAATGAAGCAGTAGAACTTTAATCTTAAAAAGGAAGTTGACGTCGTTTATTCTATTCCCTTTTATTTGTTTCCCTAATGGCTGAATAATTTCTCCTTGCTAAAGGAAAAAACCGCCACAGCCCTCTCTCTGTCACTCTCCGACAGATCATAAATTTATTATAAAAACTCTGCATAAACCCGCCTTTACCATCTTTTTTCTTTACTTATATTAAAATGTCAACAGATAATACAACATCTTTAATTATAGCCCTTCGTGGCGCACAGGATATCGAAACTGAAGGCCGTATCATTCGATTCGGCAATGGTGCCAATCTTGATACTGTTCGCTCTCTTGCTGCTGAAAAGCTAAGTATTGCTGGGGGATATGCAAATCTCCAGTTATTGAATGCCAAAGGTGAGCTTCTCGGCGGTATTGATGATGTACGCAATCAGCAAGTAGTCTACATTGATATCAAAGAACAGATTCGCGAGATCATTCCCGGTCCTACAAAGCTTCCCTTTGTTGGTAGCTTATACGAAATGCTTCCAAACTTGTAAGTGCTCCATTGTGATTGATACCAAACAGTGGTATTTATATATTTAATAGGACAGAAGGCTGGATAAGACAATTCAAAACATATGGTCCCGTGGTTGAAGTTTCCCTTCTCGGTAAATCCATTGTTGGCACCAATGACCCTGTCATCGCCGAAATCTTTGCTAAAGAATCCGAGTTTTTCACAAAAAAGATTACAAAAGCTGGTTTGGGTGAAGTCAAGGAATTTGCTGGTCAAGGATTATTCACTACTGATACTGATGAGATGGACTGGCAATTAGCACATAAGCTCTTGATGCCTGCTTTTAGTCCTCGTGCTATTAAGGTAAATGCATATCATGAAACCTTGATTACATATATGCTTACCAATGTGTTACTAGGCTTATCAACCAGAGATGGGTATTATCACTCAACAAACAATCAAGGTCTTTGAACAGTACCGCTCAGATGAACCTGTCGAAATCCTCGACTGGACTACCAACTTGACGTTTGAAACTATTGGCCGTATTGGTTTTGGATATGAATTCAACCTTTTGGAAGGACGTGATCAAAAGCCCAACGAATTCATCGAAGCCATGGGTTATTGTCTGAGACAAGCTCTTCAACGTGTACAACAAGCTGAGTTTGTAAAATCACTCCCTATTGAAGCCAACCGTCGCTTTGATCGTTCTGTTCGCTTGATGCATGAAGTTGTCGAGAATGTTATCCGTGAACGCAAGAGCAGCCCCGATGCTACAAACAAAGAAAAAGATCTCTTGGGGTTCATGTTGAATGCTCGTGACGAACATAACCTTGGTTTATCAGATGAAAACATTAGAGATCAAGTTGTTACTTTCCTTATTGCTGGTCACGACACAACTGCCAATACACTTGCTTGGACCTTATACGAGTTGGCAAAGAATCCTGACATACAAGCCAAGGTGCTCCAAGAAATTGCCGATAACCACATCTCGCACGATGAATTACCTACTCCTGAACAAATTTCAAACCTCAAGTATATGCATCAAGTATTGAAGGAAACCCTCCGAAAGTATCCTCCTGTCCGTGCTTTATCCAAGTATTGTAAGAAAGAATGCATCCTTCCTGGTGGATACAAAATTAAGAGCGGTCAGCCTTGCTCCATTCAAGTCTATGGTATGCATCACAATGAAAACGTCTATCCCGAGCCTGATCGCTTTGACCCTGATCGCTGGACTCCCGAAGAAGAACAGAAGCGTTCTCGCTTTGCTTGGTTGCCTTTCAGTACTGGTCCTCGTGCCTGTATCGGTATGGCCTTTGCCTTACAAGAAGCCAAAACTGTCTTGGCTATGCTCTTACATCGCTTTGATTTCAAGCATGATGGCTCTGAAGTTCAATATGATTTCAAGATGGCTACGACTAAACCTCATGAATTGTTTATGACTATTCATCCTCGTGAAAATTTCCCTCAGCCTAGTGGTAACGCATCACCCAAGCGAGCTGCAGCCCCTACTGAACCAACTAAGAGAGTCAATATGCCTGTTGCTTCCAATGAAGGCAAGATAGAAACTGAATTGCCTCCTATTACCTTCCTCTACGGTACCCAAACAGGTACTGCTCAAGACTATGCTTCCATTTTGGCTGATCAGGCCAAAAACTTTGGTTTCAAAAAGGTTACAGTTTCCGAAATGGACAAATGGAAGGTCTTGGCTGATGGTAAATTCATTTCTGATGACAAGAATACAAGAAAACTCGATAAGGAATTGGTCGTTGTCTGTACAGCTACCTACAATGGTCAACCTCCTGACAATGCTGAAAAGTTTGACAAGTTTTTAGAAGACAAGACAAGAGAAAGTGATCATGAAAACTTATTGACTGGTTTATCTTATACTGTGTTTGGCCTTGGTAACAAGAACTGGCGTACTTACCAATACTTCCCTATCAAGGTGAACCGTTGTCTTAGCGAACTTGGCGCCGAACGCATATTTGCTAGTGGTGAAGGTGATGCTGATAAAGATATGGACGCTGCTTTCAACGAATGGTGTGCTCATTTCTGGTCTCATGTTTTGGATATGTATGGTATTGCTCCTTCTGAAAGCAAGTCTGTTGTTCCTTCCGCTGTTTCCAAGGAAAGCACTGTTGACATCACATTTATCAAGCCCACCGACAAGGAACACTGGGAAGCTGGTATCAACAATCGCTATGGCAACACGAATGCCATTGTTCATGTCAATCATGAATTGCAAAAAGAGAATTCTCCTCGTAGCACGCGTCATATTGAAATCGACATTTCCAAGCTTTCTCCTATTGGTGAAGACGGCAAGCTTTACAGCCCCGGTGATCACTTGGAGGTTATGCCTGAAAACAATCAAGCTACGGTAGAAGCTATTGCCTTGAACTTCAATTGGGTGCTGGACTCTGTCTTTGAAATCAACCAAGAGACGCTCTCCGATGTCTCTCCTCGTTCTTTAGCTGCCAATATCAAGGGACCTTGTACCATCCGCAACATGCTTAGATACTATGCTGATGTTACCTCTCCTCCTTCCCGTGCTGTCCTTGGCTGCTTTGCTGCTCAATTGAAATTGGTTGCTCCTGAGACTGCCAGCGAATTCGAAAAATTGGTTATGCCCGATGCCAATAATCAAGATCAATATCCAGATTTCATCAAGAAGCACCGTACTCTTTTAGATTTGATCTATGCTTATCCTCAGGTCAACCGCTTAGATCTCCGCCAATTCCTTGCTGCCGTTCCTGTCATTCAGCCTCGTCGTTACTCCATCGCTTCATCGCCACTGACATATCCTCAATCTGCACACTTGACTGTGGGTGTAGTGGATGATGTTGTCAATGACCGTCATTACCCCGGTTTGTCCTCTTCCTTCTTGAAGTCCGCCAACAACTTGGCCATTCGCGCTACGCTCAAATCTTCCAAGAACACGTTCAGCCTACCTGAAGATCCTCTTACTCCCATCATTATGATTGCTGCAGGTACTGGTTTTGCTCCCTTCCGTGGCTTCCTTCAAGAACGCAAGGCACAGATGGAAAAGCTTGGTGCAGATAAGGTTGCCCCCAGTGTCCTCTTCTTTGGCTGCCGTCGCGTCGACCAAGACTACATCTACCAAGAAGAACTCGAAAACTATGTCAAAGATGGTGTTTTGTCTCATTTACACGTCGCCTTCTCTCGAAGCGAGCAAAAGTCGCCTATCAAGTACGTCCAACACCAAATCCTTGCTAATGCCACTGAAGTCTGGAATCTCTTGCTCCCTACCGACGGTAAGACCAAGCCTGCTGCCATCTATATTTGTGGTAGTGGCGCCATGAGTAGAGATGTCCGCCGTACATTCTGTAATATGGCTGTTTCCTTTGGTGTCACTTCCTCTGAAGAAGATGCACAAACTCTTATTGGTAAACTCATGGACCAAAAGAGATATAACGAAGACGTCTGGGGTTAATTTACTTCACTTGCATTTTATTTTGTAAATATGTTTCAATAAAAAAACTATTCATCTATTATTTTAAATAACATGGCTGTGTTGAATTTCAACGGGATATATAAGGGGGACAGCAATACTCTTCATCGCTTGCTTCATTCAGATTATCTACAATGACTTCATCTTCACTATCACTTAGTAATGCAGTCAGCTTTTCAGCATAGAGCGGTTTTTCAACTAGGACATAAGGTGTAATGTTGTATGAAAATGCTAAATCATGTAAGCTAATAGATGTATTGTCTACTGTCTCTTCTTCTGGATCTACTGACTTTTTGATACCAATTGAGCGATTTATTCTTCTTTTTGTGATTGCGCTTGTGATGGACGATTTTATATAACTCTATGAATCAAATTGAGCTCACTTTGTATAATAAAGTCAAAAAGATTACCTCGGCAGCGAATAACATGACATTAACTACATCTTCTCCTATACCTCCAAGTAATCCATTTTCAATAGCAATGCTTGTCATTCGTGAATGTAAGGCATCCGCTGTTGGTAATCCTTTCATGTCGATGCATAAAGGTGCCATCAAGCCTTTAGAATACTCTTGGCTATAAGCTACCGAATACATCAGTCTTATTACTTTTTTTTTCTTTTTTAAGAAAAGAACATACTTGGAGGAAGCTGATTTAGTGGAATTGGTAATTGTGGTGGCCTGCTCACTCGTGTGCCTAGCAATCGATCTACATATGGCTTCAATTTATTCCTATCCCCAGACTAAAAAGATCGAGATTGTTAGCCGTATGAGCGTACTTTTTTAGAGTGAATTTTACTTTGACAAGAGCCTTTAATCTTTCTCTATCTGCCTTGCTTAACGCCATTACGTCCATCTTTAGTCGCTTCTTTTTAGGATCCATATCTTGACCGCCTTCTGCTAGTAAACCGTCCTTTCCTCGTTTACGCTTGGCCCAGCCAACTAAACCGTGTTTTGAAGGTGGTGGTGTATCTGTTTGTGCATTATGTACAGTACTTAGAATGAAGGCATTATGAAGATGTGCTACAGTCAAAAAGTGAGAGGTTGATGCTGTGATTTCTTTTATAATCGATATATGCTCTTTTTACCATGTTGTCTACTTAGATAAAGATTGGCATAGAAATCGAATTCTTGTCTGTTGAGTCTTCCCATAACAAAATCCCTTAGAGCATCCCAATATAATGGTCCGTTCTCGCCTAATGCATCGGCCAACTGCTGCTTGATGGCTAATACATCTTGCCGACCATTAGCTGTTGAATGTGTAAAATGACTCTTGGGTGATACTTTTTTCACTGTATCTTTTAATGCATCATCTCCTTCTATGGGTTCTATCTTTGTTGTCGGTGTAGCTGCTGCTGCTGCTGTTGTTGTTGTTGTTGTGGCTGCAGACATTTTTTTAAATATACAATAAAGTAAAAGCGAAACAAAAAAAAAAGAAGGGGGTGTGTATGTATGTGATAAATAATGCTAAAAAAGCAGTCTGATAAGAAATATTTAAGCAAGACGAGTACATTAATGCATACTATTTTAGTTAAACAGTAAATAGGATAATTAGAATATCATATGCTTCACATATAATCAATAGTCCTGCGTACATAGATAAGACAAAATTAGAACCCATCTACAATATTACTACTACTATTGGAGAATATTCTTACAAAAGCTATTTATGTGTTTATATAAAAGGATCAGGTAATAAGCCTGTTTTAGACACAAGGGAAAATAATTTTTAAACATGAAACAATAGCAAGAGGCTGTATCAAAAATAAGGTTAGAGGATAAAACAATAAAATTTAGGGGGGTTGAATGCATTATATGTCAAAATCTTTTTAGCAAAGTGTTACAGCAGACGATGAAGATGAAGAAGAGGATGAAAAGGAGTATCTACGGTCGAAAGGAAGAGGTGTAAACCACATAAAATCTGAGGGCATAGTCATTTTTTCATTATGAAACACGAACGGTGTGGCCAGAGCATTCAGCCTATTTGTACTATCTTGGTGTTCATCGTGAATAAATACACATCGTACGCCATATAAACAGGTCCCTGTTAGATGGAAAGTCTTGCAAATCTGCGTCTTATATTTAGGAGAGCGTTGGACATGTCTACGTTCTTGCTCGCCATGAGCAAATCGACATTTATGTCCATATCTAAAATGGGGCGCGTATTAGAGTGATGATGGTAAGTGAATAAAAAGATATATTACCTGCATGAACCTATTTCTTGCCAGTTACGGCACATTTCAGTTTTGTATAGTCTGATTTGTCTTTCATCAAGCATATTAAGTATAGGAAAAGAGAGGTATTGTATTGAAGAAGTAAAAAAAAGAAAAAGAAAAAGAAAGTGAAAATCAAATGTGTTTATATAAGCTCATTAGGGCCACTGTCCGACCCATTTAAAACAGATTAAACAAGCTTTTTCTATCACCCTCTCTTGTGCCTCCCCAAATTGAGACAATTGATGAGCATCAGCAGCTGTTACACCAGATGTATACAATCATAATAGCTTTCTTTGCAGAAAAAAAAACAACTAACGCTATGTATCCTTTACGGAATGGCTCCTATTTTAATATGTATCATCTATACTTGATCTAAAGCAGAGACACAGTGTAAATGAATTACGTAAAGAGATTATGCTCAGGTACGCCTTTTGGGCGAAATGTTTGCTTTTGGCTAATTGTTATTTTGTTGTGCTGTTGTGTCACCACTCCTATTTGTTGTTGTTTTTGTTGGGCTCCAAATTTGGTTCCAAGCCGACACAATAAATAAACAACTGCTATGATATAAACTTTATGTGAATCTTTTGAGAAAGGAAGATCCATAAACTTACTTTTTTTCTTTCTGTATACAAACAATCAACATACATAAATGACTATGTGTATATCAGAATATGATATTAGCTAAGCCATCTTGTACTCTTTGCATTTCATAATACGGAATAACATAGGCCCCTCCACTTTTGATATATATAAACAAGCTCAAAAGTCGTGATTTTTATCAAATGATTATTATCAAATGATTATTATCACATATTTCCTATGGTTTATATCTTGACAAGTACTGGTTTCAACAGTACATTGACAAATAAGGAGAATATATTATGACCAGTTCTCCCTTTTCACCGCTGACAAGCTTAAACTTTATCAACATGTTTCAACTTTATGTGAAAAAAGTTTCCCATGAGCGTCACCGTCTTCAACCTACATTAATAATAATAAAAGGCCCTTGGTTAATCAGGTCCTTCTCCCCTTTTCATATACAGTGAAAGCCCTTTTCTGAACACTGTTTCATTCCTGAAAGCCTGTTGGTACATAGTCTGCTGTTGAATGCACATATAAGCAGATACGCGTATATCTCACATAAAAGAATGCGCGAGAATATTCGAGTAGCATCAGGTGAAGCCCTATATGGTAATGTATTTATTCGTCCCTTTTTTATGCCGTATAGCACCAAGACGAAACTTATGGTTGAAACATGACTAGCACAGAATTTTAAACTATTACCTGGCGTTTACTATAGGGTTATGAATAAAAAAAAAAAGGGCAGTAAGGAAAGAACGCCATCTATATTTGCTGCTGTTATCTTTAAGGAAGAAGCTAAACATGTCACTTTGACATTAAACGACCTTCTGTTGCGTTTCATGCATATAGTCAATAATAATGCTTTGAACAAAGCAAGCTTTTTGAACCCATTTTTGCGCTCATGCTTCATTTATAATAGTAGTAGTGGTAGTAGTTATGGTGGGGTTATTCCAAGGGTAAAATATCCTCTTTCTATCCTTCATTCTTTTGCGAACTTTGGTTCAGCAAAAGTGTAGAGACAACAGAAATATAAGGGAAAACAAATGCAGAAAAGAATGCACTAAAATTTTATGTATAATAATAAGCTAGCAAAAAGAGTCTAATGATGGCAAGTAACGATTGTGCGAGATGAAACGTAATGAATGAATGAAAAATTATGAAGTATCAAATAAAGTTCCAGCGAATAGTGCAAACGCCACTTTCTAAAGATCCGCATACCCTTTCATAGACTATAAAACAAGTTATTATGTGTACTCAACTTTTTACATTCTACTGCTGTCATTTACCTGAAGGCGACATATCCAATGTTCCTGATGGACAAGATGGACAAGTATCCACAATTCTTGCTGTAGTACTTCCACTGTCACCAGAGATGAAGACCATATGGTCACAGTTTGGGTTTGTATTTGGATTTGGACCTATGTGTTACTTTTAATGAAACATGATCTAGGAATTTCTGTAACTGTATTTTACCATTTGCCATTTGATCTCTGTTTAAAGCGACCACTAGTTCGGAGTCGTTGTCATATTCTCCACATGAACCTGATCCTACTTCATAATATGTACTTAATCCCCAAAACCGCTTGATTCTCCTGAAACTTTGTCGTCCATTCCCAATGGAATTATGTGAAGGAGCAGCCGAGACGCTAGAAAGAGAGCATAGCGCCACATTGAGGATAACAATAGATAAAGAACGCATATTTTTGTAAAGAAAAAAAAAGAAAACAGAAAAATGTCAGGGTATCTCTTTATATATAGAAAACGTGTTGCCCAATGATTGTTTAAGCGCAAGATTTCTGTTTTATAAAGTATGCCGCGATATACCCTGACCATTATCATTCCTTATTCCCCTTCATAAAGACGTACCTCCTTAAATAGCTGTGAAAAAAAAAAGGTTAATGTAAATGCCAAATAGGCTTTTTTGATTGGTTTTATTAAATTATACACATATTACTTTTTAATGATTAAAGGAATTTCCAAGCATTTATAAGCACTTGAACAGCATCTTCTTTGCGAACCGCCACTCTAACAAATGTATCGCATCCATATCCTGGTTTACCGCTACGAACTGGCACACCAGCATCACGTGCCAAGTCTACTGCTTTTGATGCAAGTTCAACAGATCTCATATCGATCCAAACCCAGCTTAAAAATGATTTACCATGATAGACCCAATCCTTTGCAGCATCTAATTGTGAGAGCTGGTCTATTAAATATGTTCTCAAGCGACCTGTATTTTCCCATGTTTCATTCAAGTAGTCTATATCTTCAACCACTGCTTCCACAAACTTGAGTGCTGGCCCATTCACTGACCAAGGAACTTGGATTTTACGTAATGCCTCACAGTGCTCTGCTGTAGGACAGATCACGGAACCAACTCGGAGACCTGTGCAGGACCAGATCTTGGTCCAAGAGTGCATCACGTGAACAGACACTTGTTCATTTGTCCACATATCCTTTGCATAGTCATGCTGTGAGATCAGTGAATCTGATCTGAATTCAGAAGAATGCCAGGGCTGCATGGATTCATCTACATTGTAGTGTATAAGCATATGCTCACGCTTGGGAACATACATTCACTGGCTTACCAACAATGACACATCCTCCTTGTTTGACATTATTTTTGATCCATGCTTTTAAAGGTTCAACAGAAAAATAGTCGCCAGTAGGGTTGCATGGATTTACAATACATAGCATGTCAGCACGCTCGGGGCTTGATGGATCCAAGATCTTGAAACCATTTGTTTCTGCACTACGTTGGTATTCCCTGTACTGTAAAATGGATAAACACAACCGAATTCTCATTGTTTTTTTATTGTACCTGAACATCCCAGGGACTGCCTTTCCAGGTAGGTTGAGTAATTCCTCTTTGCATTGCAGACAAAAGAGCCTTTCTAACAACCAAATCGATCAATTCTGAGGCACCATTTCCCATGAGTAATCTAGGATGATGTTGAGCATAATCATTCTCCCAAAGAAACTTGGCCAAACATGTTTTCGCTGGCTCTTGATTAGCTGCGGGATAATGATGAATATCATTTATCTAAACAATCCCAATAAATACAATGTTCCTTTTGTTTTGATTATGTAATATATATTTACAGCTTCTTTAGCAGCCTCTAATGCTTTTTTGGGAGTACCAAGGTAGTTTGTAGTAACACTAAAATCTTCAACAAAGTTTTTGATAAATCGATGCTCTTGTCCACCATGAAATGTTTGTGTCTTTGCGTCCCACACTGCAGCAAGCATATTTATATTATTTACACTTTTTGAAAAAAGAAAATAAAGGAAAAAGAAAAAAAGAAAAGAAAAAAAAACTTTTTTAGCGGTTGCCCTTTTTTGACATTTGTACAGAGTAACAGAAAACGTGTAAGAATAAGAGTGAATAGCGGATATTAAAAGATTTGCATCTTGTGTATCCTAAAGCATCTCTTGTACAGCAAGATCACCATGAAGGACCTTCATGTTCCCCTCAGCCAAGCAATAAATACACAACAAAACTGTGGCTTGGCTAGCACTGTCTTTTATAAAGTTAGAAGCTTGAACAGCCATAGACTAAAGGCACATTTTCATTAATAAAATGATACTCAATACAACCACACAATTGAGGCAAAATAAATGTATTTCTTTTTTTTTTTTATTCTAAAAAGAAAGTTTGATCAGCACAGTATCTTTTCTATTTAACAGTAGCAAAATCAAATTTTTTAAATCTAGAGACCCTTGTTAAAGTATAGCTGACGGATCGGTTGACCATCCTCGTCTTTTAAGCTCTGAAATTCTTTTTCCATAGAAGAGGTATCTAACTCCCCAGTCTGAGGGAATACGGCTATTGCTGCAGGAAGAGCTGTCATTAATGACAATGCAATCAATCCTTTTTTTTTTAAAAAAAAAATGTTAAAGGCAGTATTCTTCTTTCTTCTATCTACAACTTACCAAAGTTAATAGGAGTGATCCAATGTGGACGTGCTTTAATAAATTCTGTTTTTTGAATACGACCCAGTAAAAGAGGTGGTATGATAAGCACAGGTGCATTCGTGAGCACACGAGAGATGGCAACCTGCGAAACGGCGGACATACCAGCCTTTTTGGATTTACCGACCTTGTCACCATCTTTTGTAAACACATCAATACCATCTCTAATCTCTTTGCCTCGCATCAAAAAGACATTCACAGTACCAGCAGCAGCAACAGCAGTAAATGGAACTAGTTTCATGCATAAAGACTTGATGGACGGAGATAAATTGAGACGTGGTACAGCTTGGTTTAATCCAACAGCAATCGCACAAGAAGTTGTCACGGCAGAGGCATAAGCAACTGTGAAAAAAAAAAGAATGAATTATTTGAGAAATAGGCAGACTGTATCCTCTTTACTTCCTGTTTCCTTTATACTCATAGGTGTGGTCTTGTTTGCGTTGGCTGAATTGAACGCGACATTAACGCTTTGATTGGCCCATTGCCAAAAGATGATACTTTTAATCTAAGATTGAAATTATCAGACCAAGAAAAAAAAAAAAAAGACTTACACTTGGGTTAGGCAACAACATACCAGCGACAAGGATCATGTTTGTTGGCACAAAGCTTGACATTCTAAAAGGCAAAAACACAGGTTCACCCGTATCTGGATGAATGGTTGAATCGACAACTTTTCTAAAGAGTTCAGCTCATGGTTTTCCGCCTGTTTGAGATATATCTTACTTTTCTTGGCTCTCCAGAGTTTCTCAGGGTCAGTGTGGGTATGTTCGCTTTTATTTTCCAACAGCTGTTTACATCGTTCAAGTTCTTTACGTGAAACAAGAAGAGTCCTTACAAGTCGTTAATAAACACGTTTAAAAAATCTTTAAGTCTCCAACCTTGGATCTGTGATATCAATAAAATGTCTCAACCTTCCCCAATAAGTAGATTGAGAATATCTAGGTTTTGCTTGTTTTTTATTATTTTCGTTAGCTTGAACTATGGATTATTTATTAAATTTTTACTACAACTTACACAAGTCAATAAAGGACATTGATGTAGAGAATAATATGAAAAAGAAAAAGAAGAAAAAAGGGAAATATAATTATTTTTTTTTTTTTTCCTAGACAGCACACAATTTCCCACTGTCATCAATTAACTTTTCAGATTCATTGTCGTCAAACTTTACAAACTCATTAGCATCCCAGTCAAGTCCAATATCCAAGTCAGTTTCAACCCAGGTATGAAAATTATCTTCATCTGTGGGTTTTATTGCTGTCGTTGCTGCTTCGTCTTCTTGTTGCTTCATTGCACTGGTCAATTCGGTCAGGTTACCAAGATCGGGTGTTCCAAAAGTTTCGTCCTTGTATCCTTCTTTTAGATAGCTACCAAATTGTTTAGCATCTAGTGAATCATTGACTAAAGTTGCGGTTGTACTAGTGTCCGTCTTGCTGGAGGGTATTGCTTCCTTTTTCATATTTAGAGTTGCTTTGGCATTACCGATATACGCATCTAGTGTGTACTGAATCTGCTGCTGTTGCTGAGGTAACAAAGGTATTCTTCCTTGTGCTGCTTGCTGTAGTAACCAATTACACTGAAGAGCTTTCGGTGGTAAAAGATTGATAATGTCCTTTGGGATACCTGCTTCAACAGCTGCCATATAGAACGCCTGTAATTGCATCTCATGTTGATTCAATGGCATACCTTCTTTGACAGGAATACCTGTGGGAATGATTGGTTGCTGTTGCTGATGTTGTTGTTGCATTTGATTTTGGGAATTGGGCAGTTGAGATTGTACTAAAGAAGGTGCAGAATCATTCTTTCGATTCATAACGGGTGAAGAAGTACTGGATTTAGCTCCACGTTGCTTCTTCGAAGGAGGTAGCTTTAAATCAATGCTGTTTCTCTTCATAGTCATCGGTGACGTTGATGGTGCTACTGATGTTTCAGGCATAGGGACCATAGTGTTACTGCTATTATTTATCTGTTGCTGTCCCATATATGATGGCAGTAAGGAAGATGGTTGCTGACTCTGTGGTTGCGATGATTGTATTAGTTTATCATCCATCAACTGCTGTAACATCTGCTGATGGTGTTGCTGTTGCTGCGGTTGTGTCTGCGGTTGTTCTTGAGGTAACTGAGGAGGCTGAGGTAGCTGTGATTGTGTGAGATGAGGCTGCATTAATTGCGACTGAGATAGTAGCTGTAGTTGTTGCTGTTGTAATAACAAATGGCTCTGCAACAATTGCTGTTGAGTTAGCTGTTGTTGGGTTAACTGTTGTTGTGACAGTTGATGTTGCGTTAATTGCTGTTGTGTTAATTGTTGTATGTATTGTTGTTGTTGTTGTTGTTGTTGATTATGCTGTTGCTGTTGCTGCTGTTGTTGTTGTTGCATCTGTAAAGGATGACCCATACCCATCGTATTTCTGATCCAAGTAAAGTAACCATTAAGCTGGTCTCTTAGTTTGTAGACATTATCCAAATTGATAATGTACTTGTCTTGAGGAAGCAAATTCACTTGATCTTCCAGCATATGCTTCATTAAAATGATTCTTCTTGTTGCTTCATAATTACCCGTCCTTGATAAAAAGATAGGCAATAGGTGATCCAATTTATCGTACATTGCTTTCATTTGCTGAATCTGTTCTCTTATAACTGCTTTATCTTGACCACTCAGATTTTCAATGAATGCTCCGGTTACTGCTAAAAAAAGTGAACCTCGAGGACATACGCATATATAATATGTATTTACCTTTAGTCTTACGCACAGTTTCATCCAATTGCTTTACAATAGCCGCAGGACTCATCTTTGTCGGTGTCACTCCTGTTGCTGCTGGGTACTTCATAGGGGGCCTCTGTAGCATAACATCTGGCTGCTGCTTTTGCGGGAATGGTCTGTTTTGCATCATGAACTCAGGATTGATCATACCTTGCTGTTGAACAGGACGCATCAAGTTTGGATTGAATGCATACATTTGTTGTTGATCTAGTCTGTTCATACCATTGGCCACGATAGTGTTGACACTACTACTCGCTGTACTCGAAGGAGTAAGAGAAGGGGTAGATACCAAAGGTTCATAAGAAGTCATGTTTGGAGAATACTGTTGCTGTAGATATTGTTGCTGCTGCTGTTGTTGTTGCTGAAGAGCCATCTGACGAGCAAAATAGAATTGAAATTGTTGCTGCGAGAGTACAGGCCTAGGACGGTTATAAACAAATGATTGAGAGCCAAAAGATTGGTTGGAATTAAAAGCAGGTTGTTGAAGAAAATTAACTTGTTGACTATTACTTGCGATTTGGTCCTTTATTTGCTGAAACTTTTTTGCATGAGCCATGATATACTCATTCTATAAACACAGTGTTAGTTTATAATCATCTCTGTGTATCTCAATTCTACCTTGCTGTTGCAGCGTTGGTATAAGCCTGCCTCAAAGCTACTAGCCACACCACGGGTTTCAGTATCGGAAGTATTAGGTGATAAGCGTTTCAATGCTAAACTTCTACACATAAAAAAGGTATTAAAATGATATATGGTAAAAAACAGATAGGACTTTACAATTGAGCAATAAATTGAGTTCTATCCGCTACTGATAGTTCATCCCTCCAGTTAATATTAGAAGTATTATCCTCCAACAATAAGTTGCTTTGTCCTTCTTGCCCGTTATTTATATCCAGTGAAGTAGCTACGTGGGGAATTTGTCCATTCATAATGTAAGTTGGGTATTGTTATAAATAGAGCCGAGGTTGTTTACAATAAAAAGAACAGAAAGAAAGATAAAAAAGAGAGAAAAAGAATGTTTATTTTTTCTTCTTTTGTCTTTTTTTTCTTTAAAAGAAAAGAAAAAAAGAGAGAACAACAGAAAAAAAAAAGAGAAAAATCACCCTATCAAATACAAATGTTTTTTTTCTGCTCCTTATTACAGTCCACGTGACTTTTAAACCAGTGTTTCTTCCATTGGACGACGATCTCTATGATGGTGACGACGATGCCTAATGCGTAAAGTGATAAATTGAGGCATATCCCTGTAATCGATATCGGTGCTTATGTTGATTGAGCTTTCAATTGTATCTATCCAATTCATTTTCTCTGCGTCTGTTTGAGTCTTGATCAATAATTGAGGTCCATTGGCGATTTGCAAACGTAGCACATGCCGGTGCTTGATATAATCAGTTGCCACAGTAATTTGCGCCCCTTGCATAGAATGTGTCCAGATAGGCTCTGTACGTTTTTCATGCTTGGGGTTGTGTTTATAACCTAGTATCATTGTACCACGGACCTGTAAATACAGAAACCTACATGCTTATCTATTTATAAACTATTCACCTTAAAAAGAGTCTCGTTCTTACCTCCACGATCTATTTGTTGATCGAACACCAGGCTCAGTCATTTCGCATTTAACATAAGCCGAGCCCATCTTTTCAACTGTGCATTCGTAGTCAGGTAGCTCTTCCCGGCCTTCTTCTTCTCTTGGATGAATGACACGGCTCGTCATGAGTTTTGGAAATTGAAACGCCCAAGGATGAGATTTATCATCATAGCTTGGAGGTAAGGTATAATCCTCATCTTGAGTTGTAGATAGTGGTAAGGATGATGCAGATGTGCTTATATGAGTAAATATTTTTTTATTTTTTGAAAAAGAGCGTAGAGACCAGCTACTTTGTTTCTTTTTCAAAAAGAATGAAACTAGAAATTATTATTAATTATTAAATAAGAAAATGTATATTAATCACTTACCAAGACGTGTTGAGTTGTTTACTGTGGGGGTATTTGTATTTGCAATGGCTAACATAGTTTGTGTCTATAGAATATACATAAATAATATTTACAAAACGGTTCAAAAAAAGAAATAAAGAAAGAGAGAAAGAGGGAAGAGATAAATAGTCTATATATATATATCTATTGACAATCTATTTCTAAATAAAGAATTACAAAAAAGGAGTAAAAAGAAGGGGGGGAGAGAGAGAAAGGAAATTAACAATAAAGAATATTTATAGTTTATCCATTACACTCTTTCCGAGTTACCATCATTTCTCAAGTCCCGTCACATGTAAACAAACTTGGCTTGTAGATCCCTTCATTCATTCTTACTGGTTGCAAACAGTCATGCATCTCATTAATTCTATACTTCATTACTGCCCCCTTCCCCCTGTTTGCCATTGCCATAGCAGCTGTCACTATGACCACTGCCATTGCCACTTTTGAAATTGTTTATTTTTTTTTTATTTTTCTTTGCACAACATCCACTCATCATGCACCCCCACATGGCGACAACGAAAAGTTACACTAATTTTTTTTATTGGCATAATAAATTAGTAAGAGGGATAATGAAATGGAACAGGCTGCTGTTGTTGTTGTTGTTGTTGTTTGGTTCTTTGAAGTACTAAAACGCCCAAGAATAAATCTGCATCTCTTTTGGTCTCTTCTACTCTAACAACATAAAGCCAATCTGGTATTTGCTGCACCTTTTGCAGCGGAATCAAATAAAAGTCCTTAATCTTGGTCTTGTTATGTCCCACGACCGCATATCTTTGTCGTGTCTGGAGATAATTTAATAATGTTTGTGCCTGTCCTTCATTTAAACTTGGCTCCGCTTGTCTATTCTGTGCTTCTACTTGAATCAGCACAATCTCTCGACTACTTGAGTATTGTGTCTGTGTTATATAATTTGTGACTCGATCAGATGGGATTCTTCCTTCTATCCACATGGTAGGCGACAGAACTTCCTTCCATTCTTCAGCATTCAGCTGTCTTCCTCCCACCTGCCTTGCACATGCTTCAAATTCAGCTACTTGTGGCATATTTACTTTTCCTTGCCAAATACTAGGTATCTCTTCTTCATCTTTGTCTTGTTCCATTGCATCTGGTTCTTCAGTTTGATCTTTCTGAACGGGTTGTTCTTGATTTTCGAGCTCAGTTGTATCGACTTCTTCAACCACAAATGGTGTTTCTTCCTCTTCACCCAACAATGTCTCTACATCCACAGTGACTTTTCTCTTCTTTGCTCGATGACCTGTATTTAAATTGGAAGGATCTCGCCTTTGGTCTTCTTGGTTTGCAACCCCAATTCGGGCCAATATATCATCCATGGGCTCAGCCGACTTTGTGCTTGTGTGATCTGCAGTGTCACTCACAGGTATTTCCTGCTGGTTACTGCTACTGTTTTTATTCTCTAACAGGGGCTCCTTGTAAAAGTCATCTTGGTTCTTTTCTTCTTTGCTTGGTATCATGATGATGTCTCCTTTATGTGTCTTTTTGATAATAGGCACATTTTCAATCTTTAGAATCGAATTCTTCAAACTCTTCTGACGAAGCACTTCCGACATGGACCTGAGTTCTGGATTTGCCATATCTTCCGATGACATCTTGATGAGTTCCAATGGGGTTAGATCACCTGCCACTACGCGTAACTGGAAAGTCTGGTTGGCCTTGTCCTTCAAATTATGAAGCAGGGATCGAAACTTGTTCTTGTAAGGTTCACCACATGTACGCTGGCGTCCTTTCATATCGCCCAGTTGCTCGAGCATCGTGTTTTCAATTGACCTAGCCAAGCTTTCTGCTCTTTCTGGAATCTCTCCGACGTGAAACAACTCGGGATCCTTTTGAACTGCAGATTCCATAATCGTCTTCAAGATGCCTGTCATGTTCTTGATCACGTTTCGACGTACTGGGTTTTCGTCTGCTGTCATTTGACTGGGAGAATTTGGCGTTGAACTTTCTTGAGATTCTTCCTTTTCGCTTTCTTCAGCTGGTGGTGGTGGGGTTTCCTTTTTCTTGGTGTTACGACGTACCGTTGGTGTTCCTTGTTCGTCTTTTCGGGCACACACATCACTACAATAAGAATCAGCTCGCGTATGATTGTTGCAGCCTTTGTATAAGCATGTTGATTGTTGTCTTGATCTTGTCTGACGCGTGTTGTCGGTTGGCGCTACTTCATCGTTGTTTTCACTTGCTGGTGTTTGTTGAGTTTCTAATAAGTTCAAATAGAAATTGGGGAAAAGGAAGATAGAGAAAATAAAGAGTTTAATACCGTATTTTATTACGATTGTTGTGTACATACATATACATGTATACACACATACACACATACACACACACACAATATATATATATATATAACACGCACAACTACACCACACACCACACATACACAGAAGGGGGCAATAATGGACATGTGCATAGGCTGCCCTTTCTTTCTCTCTTTGATAGTGTATATACATATCATAACCATGTAGCTTATAATGTAGTTTATCACATCCATAAAAAGAAACTTTGTTTTTCTCACACTCTCTTTCTCTCTTTAACAACAAAAGAGAAGTAGGGAGAAAAATCAAGATTACATAAAAACATGAGGATGTATTGAATAATAAACATAATTCCTTCTCTCACATGTGCACTTGTGTGTATACGTGTATACATGCATAAATGCTTACCTTGTTCACATTTTTGACATATCCAATCAATATCTTCTTCCTCTGCATCAGGGTCAAAGCCAACACAAGCACAATGAAACCTAGAACTCATTAATATGACTCAATGCAGTATTTTCTAAACAACTTACCATTCTTCACAACGATCACATTGAACCATAGGCTTACCATTATACGGCTGTTGACAGATACAGTAAAGCTTTTTAGCTCTTGATTTTTTCTTTTTGTATGTGACTGTAGGGGTTGTGTTGGACGTGATCGAACGAGAACGTGTCACTCTTTGTTCTGATGGTTGTTGTTGCTGTTGTATTTGAGGTTGTTTAAGTAATGAATCAGGAGTTATGAAATTATTAGCATCGACATTGTTATTGTTGTCATGCATAAAATTAAAGCCTAATTCAAAGCCCCAATTGTTGCTATTATTATTACTAGGTTCATTACTACTATTATGGTTATTATCATTACGATCCTCTGTACCATATAAAATGTTGTTGGCTGTAGGAAAGGAATCCGATGGCGTGCTGGTAACTGAATGCCATTCAGATTCATTATGTTGGATAGGGGCTATTCCTTCTGCTGACAGTAAGTTGATCTCATTCTGATCCTGCAAGTTTAAAAAGTCGTCAATGTTGTGAATATCCATAGTTGTTTTACAGAGAGGAAAAAGAAAACTTTTTTTTTCTCTCGCTTGAAATTTTTTAAGTGACGAAATATGATTGGATATATTTTGCTTTGCAGTTGTAATCAAAATAATGTGGTTCATTGAAAAAGTCCTTAACGAAGAGTCTTTCTCTAGATGCTTTCTTTTAGTTTTATTTCTATCTTTAATAGCCGTATTTAGTTCATTTATAAAGAAGAGAGATGGGGAAAATAGTAATGGGCTGATATTATTGGTTAACAAGGCACAGATACACTTACACACACGTTTCAGGTTGACTTTCTTCGGTATTTCAATACATCTTTTTTTCTTAGATACACACAATAATCAGAAAGAGAGAAAGAGATGCCTTCTAATGCTTCACCGCCTTTGGAAGCTTCTTCAGAAAGTACATTTCAAAAAGCATCAACCTCAGCCAATACAAGTCAATCAACTTCTCCAGTAAACACAAATACACCTACCATTCGACCACTTGCTCGAGAGCGACCCTATGCACGCGAAGAATATAACAACAACAACAACAACAATAGCAGACCTCCATCTATACGCTCTGCAGCTTCGTATGGCAGGACGCTTAGTAGACTGACAGCAGGACATCATGCACGTCATCACTCCAACTATTCAAGCTTCAGTACCATCAGCGAAAATGTTTTGCCTTGGACAACGCAAGATATTGGCTTTAATGCAATCTCAGGTAATTCTCAGCAACAGCAATTCACATGAATTCGTCCCTAATTTATTGGAAAAACTAAAACAAAAAGATAAATAAGGTGTTCTGAACGATCCTGCAAAACGCTCTCAAGACGTCTACAAGCCAACCAAGGCAGACATTCCTCCAGTAGCACACGCGACCATTCCTCGGATAAGACCAACTGATTTTGAAACCTACTTGAGCCATATTGGGCCTGTCTTTGAAAGATACAGCAACAATCGAAAGTTACTGAACGCAGCAATACAAGAACAAGAAGAAGAAGAAGAACAACAGGCTCAGGCGATTTCAAAACGAGGCAGAAACCCTTACAGTTTACCTCCTCAACATATATTGTCGAGTGAAAGCCTGTTGGACGACGACGTATCCAAAACACCACCTCGAGAGTTGCCTATGCTCGAGAACGTACCGCCCATTTTTTTCGAGCCCGATTTTCTTCTCGAGAACCCTCAGGTGTTTGACACTGTCTGTGAAGGTGCCAACATTGTCGAAAGCAATAGCGGGCCTGTACTGACCATTCTGCAGGAGAAGTTGTCTTATTATTTGGATACAGTCGAAATTCATCTCTTGCGTGAAATTGAAAATAGATCCTCTTCGTTCTTTGAAGCACTGTCGAACCTACAAGCCTTACATCAACAGACTGTGGATTGTATATCTCAGATTCACACCATTCGACAAAAGATGAAACGGATCCAGGATACCGAATGTAAAGATGGACTAGAAGTCATTCGACTCCAAGTCAGAAAGAGAAACTTGGAGAAACTTTACAACATTACAATGGCCGTAAAGAGCATAAGAGCAGTGCAACCTACGGTCCAAGCATTACTCACTGAAGGTGATTACTTTGCAGCACTTGACCTCATACAGACCACAAAGGACGCCCTTGCTGATCCTGAGCAGGGACTCGATGGTATAAAGTCATTAGCAAATTTCTCAAGCGAGCTAGACGAGATGCAAAAGTCTGTGAGCATCATGATGCAACATGACTTTTTAAGTCTTTTGTTATCTGATTTTTCATTTCACTTGAATAATGTAAAAAAAGAGTTGACCATGTTGGATGTACAAGAGAACACGATCGAAAACGACCTGTCCGAGAAGCTCTTGCGAAACATCAAAGGCCTCATTCGCACCGATACGATGATGTCGACGCTCCAAAATTACAAAGAGCGATTATTGGTAGAGATCAAAGATATAGTTAGGAAACGGCATCCGTTAGGTGGCACTACAGACGCATCCGAGCAGGGGTTTACAAGGCAACTGAAAGCGATGCCCTTTGTTTCCTTTTTTCAGATGCTCCTAAACGTCCTTTCGATCCTCATTCAAGCCATCCTTCGAGCATCTGCCTACCACACCTTGTTCACACCACATCTGTCACCTGAACTCGAACAGGAGTCATCAGATGTTGTCTCTGCTGTTGCAGAACTTGCTCAAGCTCAATGCAGAAAGTTGATTGTATCCAGAAACGAACAAAACGCGCTACTGAATCCAACAGACTTTTATCGTTTATCACATGTTCTCGACACATTTGTGGCTCAGTGCGAGGTGTACTCTGGTGGTCGTGGTCTTCGCAGTCTCATCACGAGCCAACAACGATCGTTTGTTGATCATTTCCACATGGAACGTGTCAAACAGGAGACCCAACTGATCGAAAATGAACAATGGGCCGTAAGCGAGGTACCCTTTGAATTCCAGACGATCGTCAACCAACTGTGTGAGGGTAACGTGGCTCATTTGGTGGATGAAACCGGTGAAGATAAGCAGGAAAAGAGCAGTAAGAAGCATTTAGTGATTGACGGACAGAGCTTTTATGTGGTTGGCTGTACTTTGCTTATACTCAAAATGTTTCAAGATTATACTAAATGTGTTTATAATTTGGAAAATATTGCAATTGATATTGTTCAAAAGCTGATCGAGCTGCTTAAGGTTTTTGTTTGACATTTTATAAAATGGATAATATGCTGACTTTTTTCTTTCTTTCATATAGCTGTTCAACTCAAGAGTCTGTCAGGTCATATTAGGAGCAGGAGCCATGCAATCAGCAGGGTTAAAGAATATTACGGCAAAGCATTTGGCATTAGCCTCACAGTCCATAGGCGTCATGATCGTGCTTATCCCAAAACTGAACAAGTGCATATATCCATTGATTGAACAAAACAACAGTTTCTTTTCAGAGTTTGATCGCATTGTGAAAGATTACTCGAATCATCAAAGTGAAATTCATAAAAAACTAGTGGCAATCATGAACGAACGCTTTAATGCTCACGTAAAGTCAATGCAGTCTATTGAATGGGACGAAGAAGAGGAGATAGAAAGGAAGGCAAATACTTATATGGAAACTTTGGTGACAGAAACAATTCGACTGCACAAGGTGCTCTCTAAATACTTGCCTGTGGATGAATTAAAGGTAAATAGAAAATGTAAAGATCAATTGATCGCTGACACATATTCCAGTTTATTATGTCTCAAGTATTTGATTCTTTTTCAACTCAATTCTCAAAAGAGATATCCAATATTGTCATAAAGACAGAAAAGGGGAAAAAGAGGCTTTTGAAAGATATTGAGTTCTTTATACATCGTCTCGAATCCTTACAGCACGTTGATCCGCCTTCTGATACGATTATAGAAGCAGTGAATGCAAAAAGCTGTGAAAGCACAAAGTAACCCATTATAAAAATAAAATAAAATTTTAATCTCCGCTATTTGCCTTTCCGGACAAGGGAAATGATTGACAAAACCAACAGTGAGCCAGGTGAGGCTGAGATTCCTTCCTTTATTTTTCACGTATGTATCATAATCCATAGTGAAGAGAAAGAAAGAGAATAAAGGAGGGGAAGATTAGGATGAAGAATGAAATGATGGATCAGATTAAATGGATGAATGAATTTTGATATGGATTAGATTGTTTATCAACAAATTTGACATACTCTCTTTGAGTAAAAAAAAGTGTCTACATTATGAACACCACAATGTCATTCTTCATTCTAATCTCCAATTGTGTGTGTGTGCGCGCGTGTGTGTGTGTGTGTGTGTGAAAAAGAATAATGGGGAACGAATAGAGTCCAATGACATGGTGAACTAACATTTCTTCATATGAAATCAACAGTCAAAGATGGCTTCTAACAAGATTGTTAAGAAAGCTGGTGCCCCAGCTGCTAATGAGTTCGAACTCTCCGTTGCTCAAGCCCTTGTTGATCTCGAAACCAGTGTTCCCGACTTGAAGGCTCTCCGTGCTCTTCAAATCTCTGCTGCCAAGGAGGTAATAACACTTACATGATGGTCCAAATCAGTAACTAACTTTCTCTCGACAGGTTGAACTCGGCAGTGGTAAGAAGGCTATCGTCATCTTTGTCCCTGTTCCTAGCCTCAATGCTTTCCACAAGATTCAAGCTAGACTCACTCGTGAGCTTGAGAAGAAGTTCTCTGATCGCCACGTTGTCTTTGTTGCTCAACGTCGTATCTTGCCTGTCCCCACTCGTCGCTCCAACGACAAGCAACCCCGTCCTAGAAGCCGTACTTTGACCGCTGTTCACGATGCTATCTTGGACGACCTCGTTTACCCCACTGAAATTGTTGGCAAGAGACTCCGTCAAAAGGTTGATGGCTCCAAGACTCTCAAGGTCTTCCTTGATGCCAAGGACGCCACTTCTCTTGAATACAAGCTTGACACCTTCTCTGCTGTCTACAAGAAGCTCACTGGCAAGAACGTCGTTTTTGAATTCCCCGCCAACGCTGAATTCTAAAGATGAACACGGATCAAAAATGAAGAAAAGAGGGTGCACGTTTCATGGATTTTGTCTTTTAAATAAAGAAAAAAGTAGCATTTTCATAAAATGAATTATTATATTGAGCTTAAATGAGAGAGGGCGAATTTGAAGGTTATGATATTCCGTGTACAAACTATAGCCCTATTCACATAACAATAATGTCATCCTTTCTATATTCTGATAAATTGCCATGAATTGGGGGAGGGGGTGAAAGAGAGCTGTCAATCAACACTAGGAAAGAGAGCCCGGTTTACAGACCAGTCCGCACCGGACAATTTGCCCTGGGTTATTCCATATTATTTCTCCGCTTGAGTCCACACCTGTTTTTGGCGCTGCAAACAGAAGAGGAGGAAGCAAGTGCCATACAGTGGCCCTCCCTCTTTTTTCTACGCCGTTAGGAATACCCAAAGTATGTATACATCATTTATAAATAACGGATGGATGGATATATATAAAAGAGAACGATGGATGATATATTGAATGGATAAATAATGATGAAAGAGGAGGAGGGGGAGAAGGGGAAGGATAGCGTCCACCATGTTCAAGTTTGACATTAACACAATTCAACTATAGCATGTCCGACCACGAAGAAGTTATTGATAGCCAAGAAGTCGAAGTTGCCGTTGAAGCTACTTCTGGACAAATGTCTGTTGAAGATGCTCTTCAAGAAGTTCTTCGTCGTGCTTTGGTCCACGATGGTCTTGCTCGCGGTTTAAAGGAAGCCGTCAAGGCTTTGGACAGGTATGCCAGCGTGTGTGTGTTTGTGAACATGTGTGATTAAATAGCAATGATTTTATATAGACGTCAAGCTCATTTGGCTGTTCTCGTCGAATCCTGTACCGAATCTGAATACATCAAGTTGGTTGAAGCCCTCTGTGCTGAACACAACATCAACTTGATCAAGGTTGCTGACGCCAAGAAGCTTGGTGAATGGGCTGGTCTTTGCAAGATCGATCGTGAAGGTAACGCCCGTAAGGTCGTTGGCTGCTCTTGTGTTGCTGTCACTGATTTCGGAGAAGAATCCGAAGCTATGAACGTCCTCTTGGATTGTAAGTATATAAATTTCTTTACTAAAACAGGTCACTCATGTCGATCATCTTTAGACTTCAAGTCTCGTTAATTTAGCTCCCTTGTTTGTCACAGTAACAAAGAAGATTGTATTTAAAAATAAAATAAGCCCTTTCTGCTGTATACATTAAGTCTGATACCTATTTTATTTTTTTTGGTGATGTTTTTGAGCTTTGGTGTAGCTTGTTCAATTACAATGTGTTGTAAAGATTAGCCAATACTTTCTGTATGTATATGGCTGTCTTGCTTATTCCCAGGCACGCATCACAAACGTATTTTGGCAACTAAGTTACATAGTTTCTTCATACACGCATCAGTGATATCTAGTAATAAATACATATTATTCTGCAGTCGTCAAAGACAATCATAGACATGTTTCTCTCTTAACCTTTCATTTCAATCTCAGACGTGACTTTTGTCCACAGGAAAACATTTACCTCTTCTTTTTCCCTACTTCATATACACATTTCAATAAATTATGTCAGAAAGAGTAAATCATTTATTCATCAACTGAAGAGAAACTTTAAATACTCATCAAATATCTTTAGGGCGGTCGTGGTCAATATAGCAACCGAGGTGGAGATAGAGGAGGCCGTGGTGGTGGACGCGGTGGTGGCAGGGGAGGCAGAGGAGGCTACCACAACGCTTCACAAGAAAAACCCAAAAAGGAGTCCATCTTGGACTTGAGTAAATATATGGAAAAAAAGATTCGCGTTCGATTTAATGGAGGACGAGAAGGTGAATTGAAAATAACGAAAAAGTTGCATCTATTGTATTCATTAGTTTATTTTCTAGTCGTTGGTACATTGATGGGCTATGATCCTTTATTGAATCTCGTCTTGGACCACACTGTTGAATATCAGCGAGGTACACATGTATATATATGGTGTTAAGCAGTACCTTATATGTAATATAGATTTGGAAACTGGATACGTGACCGAAAATACACGAGAGTTAGGTCTTTCAGTACTTCGTGGAACTGCTATTATTCTGATATCACCTTTTGATGGCATGGAAGAAATAGAAAATCCATTTGCACAATAAATCAGCCAACAAGTTGTGCAAATCATATATAAAGCAAACAGTTGAAAAAGAATAAAAAAGGACACATTTGCACCACAGATCACAGCTGGTTTTAACTGGTTTTTATATGAAAAAAAAAGAGAGAGAAAAGCTATTAATCAAAGGCGATGTATTAAGTCAAGACCTTTTGAAAGCTATATATTGGTTCATTCTTCTGATTTAAAAGTTCTAAAGGCGCAATGAGAATATGTATGACGTTTAGTTTTATCCTCCAGTGGAGATATGAGTAGTGGAGAAGATTATATAGAGTGCATTATTTGTTATATTTGATTCTATTTCGCTTAATCTCTTTTTATTTGCTTTTGTTATTTTACATCAAAGTAGAGTCCTCAGGATCATAGTTATCGTTTATCAATCTGTATACATAAGTTGGTGGCGCTGATCCACTATATTAAAAAGAGTAGTTAGTTAAAGTTTTTTTTAAAAAAAGAAAAAGACTTACAGGTTATGGATGAATAGACTAACATAATCTGGTCCAACATAGTCATAATAAGGATTTGTGATGGTCACCTTATCGATGATTGCTCCTTCCTGAAAGCTCAACACATTCTGTGGAGTCACAGTGACATTAAACGCATCGGCATCATAAGCAAATAGTGGCGATAGTTTATACAGTGCAGTACAGACCAAGACGGGCGTGGAATGATGTTTAGCAGCAGCAGCTAATAGATGAGATCCAGATACAGAGATGAGCGCTCCATTTGCTAAAACTATAAATATACCATATATCAATAAGTTTACAGTTCCTCTGTTATATATATATATATATATATATATAATGATGGCTAACCTGCATGTGCACCCAACACGACCTTATTTACACGAGGCATGGCAGCAAAGATGGCAGAATCAGCAACGACTGTTGTATCAATACCAGCTTTTGAAAGCGCAAGTGCCATCTTATGTCCCTGATATGTAGGGGCTGTTTCTGCGACAATAACCTGAAACTTTCGTTTTTGTGCTGCACGGATCAAGAACTCCTGTACTGTACGTGATTGTCCTGTCGTCATGATCACTTCACTGTTAAAAAGAAAGGTTATAAACACTAGTATTCTTTATATTCATTTTACTTACTTTGCATGGATGAAGTCTAATGCTTGATCAGCAATACCCTTATAGATTGTATCAAGATCCGCAATGATTTCTTCTGTTATTTCCTGAATGATCAATGGCTTCAAATGATATGTGTCCTTGATCCTCCTTTCGTTCTCTTCTCTCTTTTTTTCTCTCACAGTCATATTTGACATATCAGCCAACAGCCTAAACATGGATGTCTGTGTGGTCAGTGTCGGACGTTTCTTGCCAACTGTGTCCTTTGGTTGTTTTTGCTCTTCTATCACTTCTTCTTCTTCTTCTTCTTCGTATTCTTCATCATCACCTTCTTCGTCATAGCTCGAATCTTCTGGTGTTGTGAGTGCTCTGTCATCTGTCTTGAGTTCACCTCTTGATACTTCTCTAATGACTTTAAGTACACGCTTGACAATATTTCCAACCGCAAGTTCTATAAAGACACGTTGGTTTACTTTTTTTTTGAAGAATAAAATATACCATTTGGTTGAGCAGAGGCAAGTCTGACACCTGTCTCAGTGACGATATCAATTAAGGTATTGGCATCTCGCCAACGAGACATGGAAACCACCTGACGCAGAATGGTAGCTGTTTCTTTTGCCACAAAGAACGACCCGACAATTTGTCTTGTAAAAATGAGTTACACGGGCTGTTATTAAGCAAAAAGAAAAAAGCATTTACCTGCGCTTGAGCCTATCAATGAAATCTTCTACTTGTGCCTCAACTTGCTTTGGAAGACTCATTCTATATATTTTTCCTAAATGAAAAAAAAAGTTCCCTTTTTTGCGCCAAAAAATAAACTTTCCTAATTTTTCGCCTGTGACTGCTTAATTCGCTTTTTTTATGTTTGAAATTGCTTCATATGTAATCTTCTAGAGAAAAAAAAGCCTTTTTTCTTTAAACAACAACAATAATAATGGAAGGTTATCAAGGAGCACCCATTCGTCAACCACCTGCCATGACTTACTTGTGTGCTGGTAAAGATATAGAATGCTTCATTTCTTTTTCTTCACTTCCATCTAATTATTAATGTTTTATAGATTGTGGCGCAGAGAATCAATTAAAGCCAAGAGAACCCATTCGTTGTCAAGATTGTGGACACAGAATCATGTACAAGAAGAGAACAAAGAGAAGTAAGTTTAACAAAAAAAATCAGTAAACATGAACTCATACGGTTTCTAGTGGTTCAATTTGAAGCACGTTAATTAAAAAGAAGAAATATATGGCAGTGTTGTAAATAAATAAAAGAAGGGGGAATGTGTAAAAAAGCAAACCTTTTTGATGTTTCTTTTTCTTATTGTATACACTTGAATGCGTATTGAATATAAATAAATAATTTTATTCTGAACACACACTCATATTAAACATCTTCTTTATACATCACGTTCATAAAACAACATGTATGCTTCACTTGATAAAACTACATCCATGTCAACTTCTTCAATTGATTCGTCACTACACCTCCAAAACTTGGTTGCTGGCCTTGGTTTGGTATCTCCCAAAGGACTACGTACTTCATGACCAGTGGGTAGCTTTTTACGTCGATAGGTAACAAAATGACCAGATTCATGATTACCATAATGAGCGATGATAGCACATAACCTGTACTGGATCGCACGATTGACAGGGACAATGGATAAGGAGGGTAAAGCGTTTTGAATAGGTCGATCACCTTCCTTGTTTGACATCAGTGCAATGTTTAATCCTTCTACTTTCTGGCTGTGTGTGAAACGGTGGCCATTAGCCATGTTGCGAAGATAAACAAGGCTAGTTCGACTGGTGCGTGCCTGAGGTAGGATGGGTGTAGCGGGTGGTGAACTTAATGAGGCTGCTGGGTCTGACGTGTTGAGATATCCGTTTGTTGTAAAGGGAGCCAAATCAAGATATTCTGGGAACTGGACTCGACAATGATTCTTTTGGATGATGCCTGATGGATGGTACACAGATCGTGAGAGATGTAAGCAAAGTGATTTAGGTGGGTTAGCAAACATGGTCTGTTTGGTTGTGCATGGAGTTTGAGAAGGGGATACTAAACGAATACCATACTATATATAAAGAACAGTTAGCCCATCCACACTCGGTTATTCTCTTTATTCATTACCAAGGATGCTTCTACGTTGTATTGTAATGCATCTTGTATTCTTCTAATATCTACTTTTAGTACAGATGCTCTTTCATCATCCTTTCCTTCTACTGTAGCCAACTCTTTCATCATGGATTCTAATGTGGCATTCAAGCTACATTTCCTGCATTGGAAGTCATTCAATGTATCCACTTTTGTATATGTGCTCAAACAACTTTCTAATGTACAATTTGGCTAAATAGAGAAAAATATAAGTTTATCATTGTAAAGAAGCGAAAAGAGAGAACTTACAATTTGAGGAACTGTCAATGATATGTTATCAAATGTATGATGTCGAATGGGCGCCTATAAGTGGCACTAAGTTACTCCATAATATATATATTTTACTGCTGTCTTACGGTATATCCACAATTCATGCAACTAACTCTGGTAGCAGCTAATCCAGTGAATGGATTTCTAGGACTACGTCTTCTTGGCCTTAAACTACCTCCAACTGTACAAACAGAGAATGAACTCCACATGGATGCAGATGTACCAAATGAAGAAACAGATGAAGTTTCAAAGTTTTCATTGCTATTACCATCCTACAAACAAATCAATATTTCCTTCTTTCTTTCTTTCTCTAATAATTACATTGTCCCCTGTAAAGCTTTTTACGGTTGCTGCATCTAGTAAAGAGGTTGCATTTTCTTTATATTGAATTTCTTCTTCTGCAGTCAATACGCTTGATATGATTTGAAATAACTCATGCGCATCCTATGATCATATAAATAAGATGCATTCTCTCTCTTCTTTTCCTTACTTGTTGATCACGACTAATAGTTCCACCGAATTTTTGTTGTAAAGCGTTTAAAAAGTCTATGGGTGTAATTGATTGTGGTTTTGCGATCGGACTGTTCAACACTATAAGAATTCTTTTAATCCAAACTGTTTATAAGTTTCATATGCTTTTGTTTACATTCTATGGTTGCATATAAAGCACAGGCAACAGAGGTCAAGATGAATTCGTTTTGAGGAACTGTAGGTGCTGATTCATCGCCTTGTTCATCTACTCGTTCAGCCTATTTTTTACATGTTAAAAAGAAAAAAGAAAAATAAATCATTTGCTTACAAGATATGAACGTAAACTAGACAAGGTAGCAAAGGCCTAGACATTATACAAGAGTCAGTTATTTCTTAAAGGAGATAGAGAGAGATAGAGAGAGGAGAGATAGGGAAAAAGGGGGGAGGATAAGAGAAATAGGAAATACCTGCAAGACAGCATTGACAAAACAGAAATTGCCAGTGTTGGTCAATCCATATATATACTTTCCATCTCGTTCTACACATTTTACGAGTTATTAATAAAGGAAACTATTTTTTCTGTATATATAAAAACCTCTTCTAATCTTGTTTTTTATTCTACGTCTTCTTTTTTTAGATTCAAAACTATTTGTTGATAAGACATAACCAGAAGCGGCCAAAGCAAATCCAGCCACTGCGGCAATAGTTGGCAGATGATAATTGGACGAAGCCATTTTTGTAATCAAGGAGAAAGTAAGGCTTTACAGGATTATGTCAACTATTGTTTATATATATATATAAAAATAAGGAAATAAAATCGAGATGTAAACAGAAAGAGGGAGAAAGTTAGGAGAGTGAGAGAAAAGAAAAATTGACTGTGAGTGTTGAAAAAAATAATGACGGAGTTGGAAACTATGAGTGATATTGGACAGAGAGACAATGGTTGACACAGTGAAAGTAAAGGGATAGCAATAGAAGTAAAAGGGGGAGTAAATATTACGTAGGAGAAGAGAAATATGATATATACATACAGCATTGCCGTAGTCGGTCCTTTTACCCCCTTACACTGATAAATATAACACTCTTTTTTCTTTTCCTAAAGAACTTTTTCTCTCTCTCTCTCTTTTTCTTTCTTTCTTTATACAAAATACTATGTGGTCCATATCTCGTAAATTGAGTTTTATGATGAAGCAAAGATCAACAAAACGTAATCAAGTAAGGCTATATAAGTAATAAGCTATACTTTTTTACGATTGACATACGCACACACATACATTTTAGCCATACTATACAATCAATATAACCAGTAACAATTATCAATGCAAGCTTATGATCATACAACATTTAAATCTATATTACCACAATGACATTGACAGTAGGAACACACACTTGCTTTACCTTAACCCCTTAAAATTCATGCAATCTCTTATAGAGCAGAATCTATACAAGTTTAAACACGGAGAAGAGGATGAATATATGATACTAATCGATGACTCAATCGAAATACCTAAAGTAAATAAAGATAATAGACTCTTTCAATATCTGATTGACCAAGATGTCATGTAAAAAAAGAATAGAAACAAAATATGTGCCATACTGGTGTGTTATGACATAAGAGATCAAGCCTATTTATCTACTATAAAGGGTACAAAAAGAGAAAGGAAAAGAGAGAAAAGGATGATACTTATGCTCACTTTCTTTACTTAGCTCAAATGACAGACTGTGATATCCCTTACTTACTCATAGGTTTTAAAGAAAGCACTGTGTCTGCGATCAGTACACAGACAACCAAACTATACCCTAACGAACAAAGCAGCCATATACTCAAGGATCAACTTGTCCGATTCATCTTACAAAGACAATATCATCTTAGTGGCGTATTTAAGCAAGACGTATCAAATCATTACAAGGAAACACCCGTAGATATAGTACAGCAAGTGATAAATGACGAAGAAAACGATGACATATTTTTACTCGTCTATCGCAAATTCATGACACCCAAAGATCTCTTACAGCAACTTGTGAAGCAGTTTGGAGAATATGATTCACCGCTTACATCAGAACAGGAGAGGTATATGGTGTACTGTATATAGTTGTATTTATTGACGTATAAACGCCCGTACGCGCGTTTCCTTCTTTCAGGATTCTATCAATACTGCACTCCTGGACGTCTTGCTACTGGAACGACTTTTACTGTTCAGCCACACGCAACACACTGCAGTTGTTTCTTGAAAGGATACATGACGTAGAGAGTCCGCTTTATGAGCGAATCGTCGCCCTCACATCAGCAGAACCGCCGGAAGTTGACCGGGATGCCAGCTGGGGCGTATCAGATGATGGAAGGAACGAGACTCTGGGAACGATTTCTGAAGAAGGAGATATATATTTACCGATGCGACGATCCAAATCGACCCAGATAAAACCAAGCGCCACAAATAAGGAGCCTACCAAACGGTTCTCAACACCTGCGATTCCTTTACTGATATCTCCAGGCATAAAACGAACGCTGACCAAGAGAAGGACGCTCGCGAGCGTGCTGAATACGATCACAGTCAAAGACATGGCTGAACAGTTGACGTGGATTGAAACCGAACTCTATTCCAAAATACAACCACGCGACTTTTTAAGACATATTTGGCGTCAGCGACAAGATCAGCCAACTCCGATAGCTGCGTCTATTGAGCACTTCAACTTTGTGTCAGAGTGGATAGCTTCGATGATTGTGAATCAGGATCAAGTGGAAGAAAGAGCATTTGTGTATGAGTACTGTTTGGCTATTGCTGTGGTAAGTAATAAAAAGAAATAACAAATGTGTATATGTATTGATGTCTATTTTGGGCAGGAGCTAGAAAAATTGAATAACTTTAATACGCTGATGGCTGTATTGGCAGGAATAAATAATGCAGCCATTCTGAGGTTAAAGGAGACAAAACATTTGGTATTTGAAAGAAATAAAAAACTGGTTGAAAAGTTTTCTAGACTAGAAAGCTTAATGAGCTCAGAAAGGTATTGTATACAGCCCTTTTTTCATTATCTACTCTAACTTTTATTGTTTTAGGTCATTCTACAATTACCGATGTGCACTAAAGGAGAGATCAAAATCATTCGGTATTCCGTATTTGTAATGAATGATTCCATATATAAAATACGTTAGCTCACATGTTTGGTAGAGGTATTCACCAACAGGATCTTGTATCACTCTGTGAGGCGAACAAAGATCACAAGACTAATGGCAAGATACACTGGCAGAAATTTCGATTGATAGGACAGAGTATCAACGAAGTTATGACACGGTTTGAATCCATGAATGGACGTATTGAGCCCAACCCGTTCATTCTTTATTTTATTGGAAATGAATTAGAGATATTGACAGAGGATGTAAGATAAAAATAACTTTTTTTCCTTTGTTGTAATAGACACTAAGCTCACAATTTAGGAGAGATATGAAAAGTCAATACGACTTGAACCAAGAGAGTTACATAGCTCATTCACTTATAATAATCATCATCATTCTAGTCATCGTTGGTTAATGCTTAGGACATAGCTGATAAAACAAGGCTTGGTGTCACTCTTGTGTTTTGTTGTACAGCAATACATTTTTTTAAAGCAAAACCAAAAAAAAAAAGAAAAAAAAACTTTACTTTACTTTCTCTTTTTCCCTTTCTTTCTTTCTTTCTTTATTTTTTTCTTCTTGTAAATAATGTCTAATACAGAAATAACGTGTTTTATTTATCCAACTACATACAATATCATCTTACCACCTACACCTACATCAAGTGACGATGAATTTGAGAATGATATCAAAAGGGCATCTCTTGCAGACCTTATACCCATAGCATCAGCGGCCCTCAGAGCCAAACAACAAGAACAGCAACAGGAATCACCCTTGGCTAGAGCCATAACCAAAGTCAAGATCGGAGTGCAGACACAAAGGCTAAAAGAAAAATATTTATCCAATGAATGGATACGATTGGCTTTAAATATACCAGTAGACGAATCTACCATTAATGATACCACAATCTGTGCTATGAGAAAGAGAACAAAAGAAATCGTTAGATGGTATGAATGGAAATATAAAAAGCTAAGGTTGTCCATACAAGAACTTGAATCTATCGTTGACGAACTAAGAAAGCAAAGGCTAAGAAGACGTCATCAAGAATAAAACTTTTTTTAAAAACTTATGCTTTATATAATTTGACTTTTTTTCAGATTACTGGCACACATTACAAAATCAATGATAGTTACACTTTAGTTGATTATCAATCTTTTTCTTTATTGTTTCTAACTTGGCGACATGTAATACATAAAGTGATCTTTGTCTTTTTGAGACTTGTATAATGTGATCAACACTATAAATAACACGTAACTGAAAGGCTGTTAAGGTCTCTGGTTTCTTTTCTTTTCTTCTTTAGACCAAAAAGTAAGACCAGCTGCTCCCCAGCTAGCCCTCAGATATGTTGTATTATTTACTCTTGTAAGAAACTGACGCGTAGTATTATAGACAATAAAAAAATTACAATTGCTTTATTTCTTTCATTAATACTTGTATTTAGTTGAATAATCTTTAAGTGACACCACTAAACCTCTTCCTTTTCTTGCACCACGATAGACGATCTAAAACATAACATCAATATACATTTATCCCATTTTATTCTTTTTATTACCTCAATCAAGTCTATCATTTCTTGCTTATCATCCAAAGCCCAGTTAATCTTATTGTTGTTACCTGTTCCCAAATCGATCATAATGTGCTTATTACGGAAGAAGAACATCACAGTACATGGATCATATAATTCATACATCTTGTTAAAATCGGGTACTTCTGTAATATCAACCTAGATTTAAATTTGTCAACAAAGATTATATACATCACGTCTACTTACCAAGTAAATCACTGCAAAATTTTTAACTTTTTCGGCGATGCTATAAAGAATTTCGTCCATTTGCATACAAGTAGGATCCCAATCATGTCCAAAACGAATAACTACCACACGATCCTCTTCTGATAGAATAGCTTGATCTACTTGCCAACCGTTGGTTAAATGAGGTAAGAAATACTTTTATGTGAACATACATTAGTACGGCATCAGTATGATTTTTTTTTTCCTAATATACTTACAGACTAGTATAATTAAAGTTAAAAGATTAGTAAAGGTGATTATATTTATCTTTTTTTTTCTTACCATCTTTTCTTGATCAACTAATAAAAAGAGAGAAAAAAAACTAGTTTGTAGAAAAGAATAGAAAAAAAAAAAAAAAATAGACACACAGCATTAACAGCAAAATACAGGTCATGTGACCAATAGAGTGTAAATTACAATGCAACGAGATATTTATTAAGTGATTGTTATGATAAAGATGACGTTTCATCCTGGTATAAACATAATCGACGTATTTCCTGTAAATCACTTTCATTTAATGCAAATGTTTTTCTAATCCCCTGAATGTCTGTGTGTGTTTGGTAGTGCACTCTGTGTAGGACAACAGTGGGTACCTCTTGAACTGGCCAACTCACCATCTCTAAATGATTAAGAGATTCACACTCTTTGAGTATATTAGTTACATCATTATAATTACAGCCTGAGTGCCGGATGACAAGTCGTTGTAGGTGTGTAGCGTGTTGTGAAATAGTCTTGATGGTCTTACTGCCTTCACATCGAATGGACAACTGCTCGAGCTGAGGTCCATAAGTCATCACTGCCTGACAGAGCGTTGCTTCTTTCACTTGTTGCAGTGAGACAGAGAGTTGTCTGATACGTAAACAAGATGTTTGCATGATCTGAAGTGCAGTATCATTTGATAATGGCTTTCTATTATGGTTTGCACCAAGATTGATATTGATGAGATTGGGAACACATCGGAATAACCGCTCGATAGCCTCTACGGTAAAATCGGTCCACATCAAGTTTAAGTTGGTGATGTGATCAAATATCGTGTTGCTGTCTTCTTCATCTTGTGATTGCACGAGTTCACAGTACTGGATGTCTAATAGGTTTACTTGAGGTAAGGTGGATAGGATGTGCTGGATTTTATTTACAGATAGTGCCATATAATCCCGAATGTACAACTGGCGAGCTTTAGGTAATTGTGAAAATATAAGCTTCCAATAGTGATCATTTCCCCCTTGTCGACACTTTAGGGTGACTGCTTGTGTATTCTGCCTGGCTACTTGCCTTAGGTAACTATTTCTTTTGAATCCTTGCTCTAGTTGCCTTATTTGTATACGATGCCCCAAAACGATGTGTTTATAGAGAATGGGTAGGAATATCTGATAGCCCAATTTACATGTCAGACAGAGCTGTGCTATGTATTCTCTCGATAAATATTGAGCTACGTTTTTTATCAGTTCCTTTGGTAACTGTATAAGCCTCATTGTGAAAAAAAAAAGGTTATATAATCATAAACAGTTTTATAAAGAAAGAGAAAAGAAGAAAGAAATATAAAACATAAATGGGAATAATACACTTCGGGAATTAAATATTCGTCCCTACATTCAAAACTGTTCGCTTTACATATTCCCTTTTTTTTGTTGTTCAATGGATAGGTACATAAAGTAAAAAAAAAAAAAAAAAAAGGGGGGGGAAGAAGTATCCATAGCTACCATGTTGCATAGTTTCCTCTCTCTCTCTCTCTGTTTCTGTCTTTGTCTCGTTCTTTTCATAGTACCATTCCTGTTACACTGAGTTGTACGACTGGTTTATGCAACAAAGAAAGAGAAACTCGGCTATTTCCGGTTACTTTTAAATTAAGCCAAGTGTGTAATAAGCTACTTCATTACGGCTGACTAAGTAATGATAGTCTTTATCATTTAAATAAAGCTTTAATTTAAGAATTTGTAAGAAATAAAAAAAAAGACAGTTGCGATCTTAATGGGCGGTGTTTTAATATTCATTTTTGCTTATTTTAAACCTGGTCAAAATCACTGTATGATTATCTCAGTGCTCTTTACAATCAATTGTTCACTCATCCTTCTCTTCCTCTCTTATTAACATTAAGAAAATATCTGTAGCGTATAATATAGAGCCAAGATGGCTGCACTCTCTTTCTTTTCTCTCTCTCTCCCTCCTTTCTAATTATTATGCATCTATCATGACCAGAATATCTTTGTCTTGCTACAGCCCATCTCCTTAAATGCATAAAGGATATAACAATCAAATTACCCTAGATGCTGTGTGTAACATATGCATAAAAAAGATGAAGATGCTCAATCATGAAAAGTATGTCGCTTAACATGTGCGTCAAGTCATTCTACTATAGTTCTCTAACAGCTGACCCTGCTTCATCCACTTTCATTAATGTGCGTAGAGCATTACATTCCATTAATCAGCAAGATGCATAAATTACATCTCAAAAACGAAGGAGTGGGATTCCATTATCCTAAATTGTTTTCCGATGACCCGTCGTTTATGAGGTCAATAAAGCTTTTCATCTTACTCTGCTTAGAAAGTTTAAAAGACAATATGAGGCCCTTTTATAAAAATACACTAAATATAGAAAGCGTCTCCTAACCACAGAACAGATAAGCTACTTTACTCCTCTTCAGCACAACTATCCCTTCTTTTAAAGATTAAAATAAACTACCTCTACATTAAGCATGAAAGGGTATCCTGACTGATAAAGCCCCTCTTTAACTTTTTTTTTTGCTATAGAATGATAGAGTAATCTTAAATAACAGTATGTAGGTCAAAACACGTCTTTTTTTTCTTTCTCTCTTTTTTGCCACAAGGAAGTCATCATCAGTCTACTAACTTAGCTTACTCCTCTCTCTCTTCCTTCTTTTCGTTAGGCGCGCCAAATACCTGTCGTTTGGATATTACACGTTTCTATATAGCCGGTATTAAGGAGCTTTCGGATCAATTCCACCGATGCAAAGACACACAAAGGAGAAAGATAGAGGGGAACGCCACAAGTATCATAAGCGATACAAGTCACACTGACAACGTTCATGTATGTTATTTGTGATTTTGTGCTTACACTTCTTTTCTCTCTCTCATACTTGATTTGCTGTTGGTATTGGAATAAGCAGTTACTACTCTAAAATACGTTATGATATTAAATCACTCCTCAGGTAGCTTTTATTCTACGAACTTTAATTATTCTTACAATGTACTTTTTTCTTTTTAACAGCAACGAATGTTGCACGAGGAAGGCTACATTATAGAGAATAAGGAAGCGTATAAATTACAATTTTCTTGTCCCTGTGACAAGAAGCCTCGACAATATAGTGTAGTTTATCGATTGCCTTATCTGGTATATACCGTCTTTCTCCACAAAAAAAGACCTCCCAAAAAGAAAAAGGAGAATTGTCAATAACTACTCCTTATTGTTGCCCAGCCTCATCTGTTAACCTATTAATTATGCTGCCAGAAGTGAGGGGCAGTATTAATTTGAAATAAGCAGTTGCTTTTAAATAAACTACATGAATTTTACAATAAATACGTCTATACACTATTGGGAAATTATAGCTAATAGTTACACGCTTAAACAATGAGATATGATATCCGAAAATGGCGAGAGAGATAAGATGTTTCAAATCCCGTTTTTGAAGATTATCTTTCCCCCTGAGATAGACTTTTTTTTTAAAGAAAAATATGAATTGTTGAATGAAATGCAACCATTTGCCTCAACAGCTGTTAATGAACCCGGAAGAGGCATACTTATATGTCAGTGCTATGGCAACATGAGCAAGTTTGAAAGAATTCATGCTCAATACCCACTAAAGTTCATTCCAACATCTGGTCACGCTGCTAGACTGGCTGTAGTGTACATGCTTAGTTATGGAGGTGGCATCATCAGTGGAGACAAATTCAACATTGACATTGTTGTAAAGAAAGACGCCATCCTTTTACTTATGACACAAGGAAATACCAAAGTTTTTAAAGATCGTATCGATCAACGTTTATGGTTAACTTCACTTGGCAGCCTTGTTCCAACCATTCAGTTTTTTAACACCAGAGAACAACAAACAGCTGTTAAACCGTCTGTACAGATTATTCATTCTCAAGTAGAACCTCAAGCGACATTACTCGTTTTACCTGATCCTGTCACCTGTTTTCGAGACGCATCTTTTCAATCCAAACAAGTGTTTCATCTTGCCGACAGTTCTCAACTTGTCTTACTTGACTGGTTTACCTGTGGAAGACTGACAAGAGGTGAAGTTTGGTCATTTCGACATTATTCGAGTCGAATTGATGTACATGTGGATCAAAAGATTGTCATCAAAGATGCCATGGTTCTCGAGGATGAAGAGTACATGAAGAAAAAAGAAAAAGAAACAGCCTATGCCGAGCGATTACACCCTTACTTGTGCTTTGCAACACTCATCATCATTTCCTCAGGTCAAGGAGCGCTATCGGAATGCGTCAGTGGTCTACAAAAGAAGTCGGAAGCGATGCGTCTGCTTCCTTTAAGTTTAAATTCAGAAAAGGAACGACAGGTACTGTGGTCTGTGAGCCCGATAATGAAGAACAGAGGCGTTCTTGTACGAATGGCAGGTATGACGACTGAGCTGGTGAGAGATTTTGTAAAACATGAATGTTTGGTCCATCTGCAGCAAATTGTAGGTGAAGGCATGTATCATAAGATTTTAGTGTAAAATAAACAGATTATTATTATTATTATCATTATTCCTCATTCTCTATGTTTAATAACAGTTTGTAATTCATTGAATTTTTGGTATAATGATGGATCCTGTTTAAGAAAGCCCACAAGGTCCTTATCTTCTTGCCAGTCGTTCAACACCTTTTCAATTTTTATCATCTGCCATTGCACATCAGGTTGGTAGTCACAGTTCTTTATATAGCATGTTGCTACATGATGTAATATCGAAAGGAATAAGCTCCAATTCCATCCGCTATGCATCAACAGTAGTTTCTGGCACTCTTGCATAAATTCATCGGATGTTACAGACTCTCTGATATCTTGTATTGACTCCTTCACTTCTTTATAGTCGCTTTGGAGGGAATTGAAAGTGAACAAGATGTTGGTTGAATTACACCAATTGTGGTTAATGGATATAGTAGCACCTATGTTTTCCACTTGATGAAACCAACCAGAAGGCACAAATAAGCTCTCGCCATCTCTTTGATAGATGACTATACTCTTCGCATCCTTAAATCGAGGAAATTGAACGGGATCTACCTGTCGAATGTCATAGACCATGTTACCTAGCTTGTCTTTGAAACAATCCTCCTGTCCCGGTGGGAATAACGTCCATTTCTTGATGCCACATATGTTACTTGACCATGAATATGATCTAATGTGCATGTTTGATTAATCATACAGATGTACACAGCCCCTTCTTTTTAGTACCTATAGACGTCAGCATGCAGTGGCGTAAATGTGCCATCTCCTCCCATATACGAAAAACGATAATCATCCTCACTATGATTAATCCAATATTCGTTGAGCCAATCATCTGAAGTAGATAAGCAACAGAACTTCAATTTGTTTATCTTTATTACCTTTGAAAACTTTAGGTACTTCATATGCTCCTTCGTCAGGAAATGCCTTTACAAAATGCCAGTCCTTTAAATAATAGTTGCCAGACTTTTCCTTTTTCCCTTCGTTTGCTTCCCACAATTGACAAAATTCTGCAAATGTCATTTCAGATCTTTCTTGATCTGTGAAATGCCTTTTATTACACTCAGCTACTTGAACTCTAGTATTTCCAAAGCGACTCTCTAAATAAGCATAGTTTGGCTTGAATCGAGGCATTGCTTGTTCATTAGGAATAACCCACTCTTTTCTTGCCTTCCAGTCCTTTGTTAAGGCTGGTCCAAACATGGCAGGCTGATTAGATACAAGATGTCTTTCTAGGAATTCTTTATAGCTAGGAATTGTTTCATAGTAGACAATGTCATTCATTATGAACAAAAATCATTTTGGGTCGATTTGACCTCAGCTAATGATAGTTGTAACTCAGGACATACAAAAAATCATTGTTAAAAATGTATTGTTCAACCTATCATTGTTCTAACAAAAAGCGGGGGAAGACTGTAACAAACTAAAAGTGAACATGTAAAAAAAAAGCCGAATCGATCAGTTGTTGTGATTCAGACTGTTCCAATGCTTTTTTTATTCTTTCTCTTTCTCGGCAAAAAGGGTACATAATGACCTACATAAAAGTTGAACTCGCATTCTTGCTTCTCTCTTTTACGCAAAGCTAAGCTTAATTATTAAAGCTCAAGTCAGTTTAGTCACTCTATTACTCTTTGCTTCTCCTTAAATATGAATCAATATACTTTCTCATTTCTCTTCTTTTTTCCTTCTATACATATAATTCCTTTACCTTCTATGTTAAGAGTAAGCTCAATACTTTATCTTGAATCCATTTGGACAAGAAACAGAGAACACATGGATCGAGAGCAAGACCAGGAACAACCTCCGGTAGCTACGAATGAAGAAGGTTGGTATTTATACTGTAATTAAATACATATTCACCCTCTTTTTTTTTTTATTTCAAAAAGTCTCTGATTCAGAGGCATTAGACGTGACATTAGTGATACCTGAGGATGAAAACCAAACAGATGCACCCTTACAACCAGAACAATTTAGTGATGAATCTTTAGATTCATCTACATCTCACACTAAAACTGAAGCAATTGATACACTAGTAATAAAACCTGAAACAATTGATCAGGAGAAAATCCCGTCTGAAGATAAAATGCTCAAGGTACAGCCAAAGGACGAACAAAGCTCAGCTCTTTTCAAGAATAACGATGATGACAAACCGCCTACACCACCTGCGACACCTGCATCCTCAAGGTTCTCTGCTCGTCGTTTGTTTAGCAAGGCAAGATTAAGTATAGTCAGCGATGATTTTTCATTAAGCACACACAAGAGTGCGTTTATGCAAAAGCTATCACCTCCTAAAATACCTTCGCCCATGCCATTTCGCTCAAAACATACATCAGTAGACTCTTATACCAGTGAATTAGAAAGACGACCATCAAAGCTAAGGACTAAAGGAAAGATGCTCTCAAAAAAGATAAAAAGGACATTTTCAATTCACCGTAATACATAGTCTTTGTACAACATTATTCTTTACTATATTAAACATTCTTTTTTATATATAAAATCATTAATTACATGTAATATCGTTTGCTTAGTCAATTCTTTTTTTCAATAGTTTTCTTTATAATCAGACAATAAAAATGAGAGGTCAATCTGACCAGCTTGCAAAAAGAGTCTATCAGCCTTTTAAGCAAGTATTATAAATATATATATATATACGCATAAAGTTTATTTCCTGCCCCTAAGTCAAATGCTTTATGCGGTTCTAATCTCTGTTTACACTTACAGCCATTTCAATACAATTCTCTTGATGGCTGTAAATGCAAATCAAAAACAGTTCCTTGCAGAGAGGTTGAAATAAAAATGTTTTTCAATGTCCGCCGGACAAGTCTGCGCTGCCCATTTTTTGGTACATGAAAGATGCCATACTCTAATCTCAAAGCCGTTCTCTTTTCCCTAACTGGTCATTTGTACGTATATTATCCATCCATCCATTATCATCAAAAGAGCAACAACATAAAGAGCGTTTCTTTTTGGATGTCGTTTGGATGAATGAATGAAAGAGAGGAAAACGATAAAAGCAGATCACTAACAGTCCCTTTTTTTTTATAAATTCACATTTGACACATTATATAGATCATGGTATTGAAGCACAACAACCAGTTGCCCAACCAGCACTTCCGTAAGCAATGGGACCGTCGTGTTAAGACTTGGTTCGATCAAGCCGGTCGTAAGAAGTCTAGAAGAATCGCACGTGTCCAAAAGGCTGGTCGTATTGCTCCCAGACCTATTGACGGTCTTCTTCGTCCCGCCGTTCGTTGCCCTACTGTTCGTTACAACATGAAGTTAAGAGCCGGTCGTGGTTTCACTCTTGAAGAACTCAAGGTAAAAAATTAAAACAGTAAAGAAGAAAATGGGAAATGTTTAAAAAAAAAAAAAACAATAGGAAGCTGGTATTCGCCGTAAGGAAGCTCGTTCTATCGGTATTGCAGTTGACCACCGTCGTCGTAACAGATCCAACGAATCCCTTGAACTTAACGTTCAACGCTTAAAGGCTTACAAGGCTAAGCTCATCGTATTCCCTCGTAAGGCTGGCAAGCCCAAGAAGGGTGACTCTGAAGTATGTGTGCGCAGATTTAGATGAAAATAGGGTTATTGACATATGTGTATAGGCTGCTGAAGTTGCTTCTGCCGTTCAATTCCGTGGTCCTCTCTTCCCCGTTGAACAAGTTGCTGCTGCTCCTGAAGCTCGTGAAATCACTGCCGATGAAAAGAAGGTTAATGCTTACATGAAGCTCCGTTATGCTCGCTCTGCTGCCCGTACCCTCGGTGCCCGTGAGAAGCGTGCTCGTGATAAGGCCGAAGAAGAAGCTAACAAGAAGAAATAAATAAATTGTAAAAACATTTCTTTTTCCTCTATTCTTTTCTCTCTTGTTCTTTCCGTTTGATCTACACACATACATACATACTTACAGCATATAAAATATATATATATACAAAACTAGCTTCTGATAATCTCTCTTTTTACTATGTGTCTAAGGTTTGGTTGTTATACTTTCATGAAAAGGGAACATCGCATACGAAAACATACGAGTAATTTATTATTGAATCTATATAGGATAAAAACTTTTTTCTCTCTTTACATCAGAACACAATCCAAATTTTTAGCTATAGGTTTGCCATTCTTGTTTCTAGTCGGACGTCTTTTTAATGATGTACCTTTTGATTGCTCTAACGCCTTTAATCGTTGAATCGCCTTTTCGTCTCCATGGCTAGCTGCTTTTGTATACCAACGTTTCGCTTTATCCAAATCTTTAGGCACGCCGATACCCATTTCTGTATAGTACCCCATAGCATATTCTGCCTTTGGCAGGTCCTTTTCTGCCGCCTTTTTAGCCCAAAGATAAGCTTCGGTATCGTTCTGGGGTAGGATGCCGTCTGCACCGGTAAAGCACCAACCAGAGAGAGCAAGTTCTGCCTCTCCGTCATTTTGTTCTGCTGCACACGAGTACCAAGCGATGGATCTCCTTGGATCTGTAGGACAGTTCAAACCAGCGTTTTCGTATGCCCAGCCGAGTTTATACTGAGAAGGAGCGTAACCCAAGACGGCAGCCTGACTGAACAACTCTCGTGCGTAATCCACGTCTGGGATGACTGATGGAATATCGCTTTCCTTTTCATGTATGAGTCCAAGCTGATGTAGAACCTCTGGGTGATTTTCGTCAGCGATCTGAGCAGCTCTTAAAAACCACGATATGGCTTCACGAGGATTCTTTTGTTGTCCGACGAGTCCGTCCAGGAGAATGAGTCCAAGCTTATACATACCAGAAGGATCAGATAAGTTTGCAGCCTTTTTATAAAACTGCATGGCATGACGATAGTTTCTTTTGGTCCCTAGTCCATGTTCATAACACACAGCGACACGGTATGTGCATTCCGGGTGGTTTTGTTTGGATCCTTGAAGGTAAAGGGCAAACGCCTTATCGACGTCTGGTTTAAGGCCGTGATCGCCGTTACCATAACAGTTACCCAAGAAGAGTTGTGCCTCTGCACATCCCGTCTTGTAGGATGCTAGTTTCTTTATGATCTTCACTGCTTCCCCCTGTAGGTTATTTTTCAATTGCTCTGTTCGTTCGGGATACTCCGGGTTTGGAGCCAAGTGGCTTGCAGCGTATAGCAGATAACGAGCAAAGAATAGCCGACGTGATGGATCTTTGGATTGTTCTGATTCGTCTCTTAGCTTTCGTATGTTTTCCACACTAATAGGAGGAAATTCTTGATTTACCGAATTTATCCGTTCAGATCGTCGCTTACTTGCTTCAGTGGCCATGTCAATTGAGCTACTAGGTAGGTAATCAAAATCTTTATTTGCCATTTGGTTCTGTCTTATCGTAGGCGCAGGAGTATAGAACTGCACGTTCTCTAGATGTGGGGGTGGAATAGGTGGTCCTGACGACGAGCTTGTGTTTGTTGTCAAGGATATTTCTGAAGTATAAGGTGAAGACTGATTTGAATCATTTGAATGAGAATTGTTGCTTGGTAATGTTGTCATAAAAAAAAAAAAGATAAAAAAGAAGAAAGAAAAAAAATATAAAGTCAACCTTATTGTTTTATTTCCTGCAAAGATATCCCTTTATGTAGCACAACCCCCCTTGGTTTGTGTCACAAATGGGCTTATTTTAAAGTTGTAATATGCTTGTTTTTGCAAGTGGATCTCCGTGGTAGCGAATGCTAATGTTGAACAAGAGATATCGTATTAGCATTTTGAAGCATTGTTCTTTATTTCTTTATATGCATATCGAAAAAATGAACTCATGCCTTTCCAAAGTGTGTTTAATCATTATATCTCGAAAGTTATAAATATATTTTAGATTTCATTGATCTCTTTCTTTCTCAATACAGATTATAATAATCATAATGAATTACAATCCTTTGTTTGATGCTTATATAGAGGAAGTATGTGTGTATGTGGGGGCATAAGTGGTGACAACAAATTTTCTGTCGATCACTTTGATCTTCACAGGCGAATGACAGATAAAATAAAGTAAATAGAGGGCCTCTATTATGCGTACGTAGTTTTATGGTTGTTGATCTACCTGAGGCAAAAGTTGAGGGTTTCAGTGACATGAACAATAGATAGCTCCGCCTGGGACGTTCAACTCCGAGATCCAGATGGCCGTCACCTACTTGCTCACTGCATCGATAGTCTCTTTTCTTTCTCGTTAGTCATTATTCACTAATGTTGCCAGATTAAAACGTGCAGAAATAGCGCCACTAATGCTAACCACGATTGGTGGCTAGACTTCAATAAGATATCACCAAGGCTGGCACTTGAATTGTATCCTAGTAATGTCCTTTGCCAGATCTTGGTGCAATCTTGGTCGAAGGAAATACCACCATTACCATCAGCTATGCTGAGCCATATGATTGATTATCATCCACAGGTTCGCACTATGAGTGTGTCCGATTTATGTCATCCTCAGATTATCCCTCAACGGAGGAAAGATAAAGATCATAATTATCCCAACAAGAAAACGCAGAAGACTATATCGCGCATTATGTGACGAGGTTTACTAACCTCTTATCGTCACCAAACGATTCAGTGCTTGCTTTACTGTGTTGAAGAATGACACCAAGATGCTAGTTGGGAGTTGAACTGGTGTCTTTCATTTGGCATCATCTGTACGCTTGGTATACCTGAGACGTTCAATGATATAACACTATAATATATTATTATAATTGTATGCGTCTCTGACAACATATTCCCATCTATAATAAAAATATTAATATTTCAACAAATGCAATTGCCATTTATACGAATGGGATTGTATTACCAGAATGCGTGGATTCCTTTTTATTTCAGTATCGTGTTAACAAGAATTGTAATAATTCAATAAAGGAGAGGACTGCCAGCTGTACATTTACATGAGAGCTTAACCATCGTCATCATCAAAGAACGCTTCTAGGAATAGCTTGAGTGAACATTGTGCATTTGATCAATACGATTTAATAAAAACTTTAAGCCAATCCAAGTCAATAAGAAGGCCAGCTTCAATGAAGTAAAGAAGCTTCGTTCCATTTTGATGTCCGCACAGATTTTGTACCAGGCATTGTAAATGTGGGGTATTTTTCTGCTTGGTTGCTGCTTTTTGATCTTTTGTGACTGCTGATATGACTCTACCCTTTTTTTTTTTTTTTTCCTGCCTTTCTCTTTCTCTGTCTCTCTCTCTCCTTCACACTGTCTTCCAACACCATGCGCAATACCAAACTCTTGGCCGGTTCTTCACACCCTGAACTTGCTGGACTTATTAGCAAGCGTCTTGGCATTCCTCTTTCGGATTGTACCCTGAAGAAGTTCAGTAACCGGGAAACAAGTGTTGAAATTCGCAAGTATAAATGTATATATATTTCATGGTTTAGCTAATATTTCTCTCTTAATAGATGTTTCTGTTAGAAATGAAGACATTTTCATTATTCAGTCTGGTTCTGAAAACATGAATGACAATATTATCGAGCTCTGTATTATGATTCAAGCTGCTCGTATCGGTTCTGGTAAACGTATTACTGCTGTTCTTCCTTACTTTCCTTACTGTAAACAAAGTAAGCGTAAGGGAAGAACGAGTATTACGGCTAAACGTAAGTAAATAAGATTATTCTTCACACTTGTATTAATACTTCATATGATAGTTGTTGCAAACATGTTGGCAGTTGCTGGTGTTGATCATATCATTGTAATAAGAAGAAAAAAAAAAATATGACATGACTTTTATTTATTTTATTTTTTGTTTAGACCATGGACCTTCATGCTTCCCAAATGCAAGGTTTCTTCCAACGCCCTGTCGATAACTTATATGCTGAACCTGTTATCGCTCGTTGGATCAAACAGTCTGTACCAAACTGGCAGAATGGCGTAATTGTTTCAAAGAATGCTGGTGGTGCTAAACGGTAAGATTACATGTACACCACACTTTCTTTTTTTTATAACTTTTCTTTTCTTTTCTAGTGTGACCTCTTTGGCTGATGCCCTTCGTCTTGACTTTGCCTTGATTCATAAGGATCGTTCTCGTATGGGTCCTCAAGGCCAAAATCGTCCTTATAGTGGCATGCCCAAGTCTGGTGAAGGAGAGTCTACGGTTCGCATATATGATGAGGATGAGAGCAAGGAAGACTTGACGGCTTCTATTTCTTCATTAAACGAATCCGGTGGTGATGTCTTGAATGCTGCAGTGAGCATTGTTGCCGATAAAGATGGTGAAAGCACGATTACATTAGTGGGCGATGTTAGAGAAAAGATTGCCTTCTTGACAGATGACATTATTGACAATGTTGGTACCTTTTTGGATGCAGCAAATCATTTGGTGAATAAGTGTGGAGCTGACAAAGTGTATATCATTGCCACTCATGGTGTGTTGAGTGGTAATGCTATTCAAAAGATTGAAGAATGTGATAGCGTGTACAAGTTGGTCGTGACCAATACTTTTCCTATCCCCAAGGCAAAGATGGATCAATCTTCTAAATTGATTGTTATCGATATTTCATTTACACTTGCTGAGGCAATTAGAAGAACGGTAAGTCAAGCTATTCCTTTTTTACATTTATGCTAATGTTATTATATAGCATAACGGTGAAAGTGTTAGCTATTTATTTAATCATGCAGAATAAACAACAGTTTAAACAATGACACACTCATATTTTGAATATTCTTTATTTAGATCATAGCAACAGAATAAATATATAAAAATAGCATAAAAAATGAGGGAGAAAGTGAGGGAGTAATGGTGGTAGTGATGGTAATGGTAGTCATAGTGAGTTGGAGGAAGAGAGAGGGGGGCGGGAAGGGAGGGGAGAGGAGAAGGAGGGGGGAGCAGTAAAAAAAAAAAAAAAAGACAGACAAAAAAAAAGCTTAGGGAGATTTTTTTTTTTGTTTTATAAAATTTCTTTTCCTTCTTTTCCTTTTGTTCTTTTCCATATAAAAATAATACATATAATTCGCCAATTATAAGGCGATGAAGTCTAAAAAATCAAAAAGCAATAATAACGAAGATACCAATGTCCGTAATAATCAAAGTAATGCTCTCAATTTTATAAAGAATCGACTCTTTCAAAGCAACAATTATCAAAAATCATTGGAAAGACAATCTTTATCACTTACGATCCAGCCCTTGGTTATTCCTCAACAACAACAACAACAACAGCAAGATAAACCTCTGTCGAGATCCTTTGACGAACAGTCGATCTCAGATCTAACTGATCGTGACATCAAGAACCAAAGACCAATGTCAATGATGGGCATAGACAAACTCTTACAAGAGGATAACAAAAATTTGATTGGTCGACCAACGAATAATGAAAAACGAAAGAGTTTGATTGTTATCAAAGAAGGCTATTTATTCAAAAAGACAGACTTTCGACCGTTTCACAAACAAGCAAAGTTGGATAGAGGATGGAAATTATACAAGGTTGTTTTGAGAGGACATAAGCTATACTTGTTCAAGATTACTGCCGAGTCGCCACTACGATCTCTCTTTCCTTCTTCACCTTCTTTAAGCATATCCTCATCCAGCCATGATCTTTCAACAGCAGCTAGTCTAAAACTTGTTTCTTCTGAATTTGATCGTGACGCACAGCAGATTCTTTTTTATAGTTCAATCGATCCAGCACAAGGCCAAGTCTTTATGGAACTAAATCCTGTCAACATGCAAGCGAAGAGATCGGTTCAGCTTGTTGTTCATAATGGATGTCTTTATGTTTGCTACAGACCAGACAAGAAGCAGTTGTGGACTATTGAAGAAAAGATTCCCATTCAGCAACTCAAACTGACACAGATCAATTCAACTACAGACTTGGTCGATTCCCCTACATCGCCTTCTTCCATAAAATCTCATCAATCAGACCCATCTTACCAGAAACAGCCCAGTGTGACATTGTTCAACATTTCATACGTCAACAAACCATTCACCTTGGGAATCTATTCAACCCAGTACCATTACGCTGGTCAAGCATGGATTCAGCTGTTTCAAAATAACAATCAAAGAAAACCCCCATTTTTAGAAGAAGACTTGTTTAGTAGCAAATCCAATGGCAGCATTGAGTATTACGAATCCCTGCATCCTTCCGAGACAAGTATCAATGCGACCATACCAGATCTAGAACCCAGCAATGACGGCAGGATGTACGACGCTACACAAAGACACCATCCTGATCTACTCCACAAATCACAGTTGGATGATGACGAGATCATTCTGGGTGGCACTGTGACAGCCTTGGTTCAAGAGTTGCTGATGACAGACAATGAAGAATATGTCAACACATTTTTATTGACTTATTCAACATTTACAACGGGATCATGTGTGTTGGAGGAAATCAAGGCCTTCTTGACACACTCGCCTGGAAAATTTGACAATCATTTACTAGACATCTTTTCTGTCTGGTGCAATAAGTTTGCGCTAGATATCATGGGCGATGTAGCGACTGATATCATATCTCTCTTGGATCATATAGACTCAACTGACACATCTAAAATCAAGGAGCTCGTTCTAAACACGGTAGCTGAAAATGCTAAAAATACAGCATTTTCTGAAACGAGTAAGTTAATGTTTGTATCCAGAAGAGTGATAAACTAACCATTCTTTCATTTCTCTCCTCTCTCTCCTTTTTTAATTGCTCTTCCCTTTTCTCTCTCTCATCTTTCCTCCTTTTTATGATTTAAATTGCAGAATATCAAACCAATGACCTAAACGATGAGGAAGAGATGGAAACGACCGCAATGGAAAATATTCCAGCCGAAGGAGAAGGTTCTGTCAACCTATCTAACTTGCTCATCACTGGGCTCACTCCTACCTTATTCCTGCGGATCTGTCCAGACAAGTTTGCGGAGCAAGTCTATTTATTTCATTTGACGCAATACACCAAGCACAAACAAGCTCTCATGGACCCCCTATCTTATTTACCTCGACCCCAAATTTCGGCAGAGATGCTAAATTCCTTATTGTTCACTACAGCTTCACCTCACTTTTTGACAAAGCTCATCAGAAATCATATCTTGATCGATTCTCAACAAGAACAACCTGGAACAGATGGCATTTTGCTAAGATCACGCTTACTCAACCACTGGATTTCCGTTGGCGTGAGACTACATGAACTTGGAGATGCGACAGGATGGTGTGCGGTAGCTATGGGACTCTGCTCGGTGGGTATTGTCAGACTAAGAGAGGCATGGAAGTTAGTCAAGCGCGACCTCGTCTCGATTATCCTGCAGTGGACACAGGTCCTGACAGATCACGGACTATTCGAGCAAAGCTTCTGGTCAGACAGTTGGGAGAAGGATTTAAAGTTCGCGCACGTGCTCGACCTTGATCATTCTCAGACACTTCCATTTTTTGGCCCTATTCGACAAGCGGTAGATCGTCAAAGGAAACACTTGAAGAAACTGTCGATGCCCAACGTGATCAATTTTGAAAAATGCAGTTGTATCTACAAGACAATCCAGACAAGCCTTCAAGCGTGGACACCAAAGCAGCCTCGAGTTGTGGACGCACAGGCTGTGGGCCCGCTTCAATCATTTTTTGAACATTCAGTCACAGATTTGGTTTCTGTGCCGCACGACTTCAAGTACCTACAAGAGTGCTCGATTGCTTGTGAACCGAAAATCTTTGGACAGACATACGATCGTCATCGTCTCTTTCAAGACATGCCAGGTGTAGCGCCTCCTTCGACCTCTATACTTCAGTTTCCTGTTATTTTGGAAAGCTGCATGTTTTGGGATAATGAGGTGCAAAGAACAGTGAATGAAAGCCCAGGTATCATTCCTCCTTACCTTAACGATAACAAATCAAACAAGCAAGCCAATCAGTTATTCAATGTAGTAGAAGAGGCAGCCTTGACGCCATCCAGAAGCACAGACCGGGCAACGTTACGAAAACGGACATACTCTTTTCCTCCAGGAACTGCCTTGAATACTGATGATGAATCGTATGGTAATGAGATTTTGGAAGCAATCAACAGCAAAACTTGGTTGGGCTCCATTGCTGCAGGCCGTCAACATTGTACGTACTCGACAAAGGCACTGATTGAAGCGCATTGGAAAAGCCGAGGTGCACAGCTTAATAATGGAGAAGTTATCTTGGCTGTTGAGCATGAAAAGCTCGCGTTTAAAGTCAGTGCGATACTTCGAAGTAAAGGCAGTAAAGACAGTCTGGCATTGAAAAGAACGGACTCCCTGAGCTCGGTAGATATCCTGAAAGAAGGTAAAAAAGCGAAATCATGTGCGCATATAAAGGGGAAACTAACATTCTTTATAGAAGACAATAACGTCAAGGGTAGCAACACCTCTTTGTCTAAGCTCTTGGTGACAGTTAAAAACGGACATCTTGTAAACCTGATTGAATGTCTCGTGAATGGAGTAACCCCATACCATGACACGCTTAAAGAGCAGTGGCAAATGATCACTTTAACTGAAGGATTGCAGTATCAGATAGACAGGATTGTCATGAATGAAATTGATTTCATGAATGTGTTCTTTACTGCCTATCGCAGCTACAGTTCGACCATGTCCTTATTGACCATGCTTCAAAAGAAATTTATGGACGCTAAATTGAACAGCAAGCTGACAGCAAAACGAAAGAATCCTTCTCTAACACTGCTCGAGACCTATTTTCCTTCAGACAAGACAAAGCAAGACACGACTGCGACACAACAACAAGGCGATAAAGATAGTATTGAGGTTAAGTCATATGATTGGAAACAGGTTGCTTCTACGCAGATGAAAATAATCGATCTGTTGCTTTACTGGATTGATGAACATCCCTATGACTTTATAGATGAACCACAATCTCTTCAACTTGTCAACATATTCTTAAGAAAGGCGCAGGGTAATCTTGACAGCTGGCGTGCGCATTTGGAACGCTACTTGCTTAATGAAAACGATGGCAATGTAAACGACGATGAAATCATGAAACGCAGAAATTTGATAAAGGCTCTGAACATCAGTAACGATATTCGAGAAAAGATACACAAGCTAGAATATCGATTTATTCAAACTAGTCTAATGCCTTGCTATGACATGAAATCAATCGAGTTTAATCCAGAATGCCTTCATAGCGCCCAAGAAGTGTATCACGAGCTGATGCAAGGATCACAATTTTATGTCAGTACGCTGCAACTTGCTACGAGCGACAGAACACCTTTATCTGTAAGCCCTTCGCCTGTAGATCCAGATGCTGCCAGCCTTGTTGATAGATATCCACCCGAGGTCTTGCTCGAACAAGTTGACAAGTGTGTTTGTCAGTTATTTGAAGCTGCCACGTTCCAAGATTGGGCTCAGACCTTTGATATTCTTGAAGTACAGTGTAACGATCTATATGCATGGCTGCCTGCCCGAAAGCCTAGTCGTCTTTCCAAGCTATGGACATCTTTTACAGTTGTGAGCGATGCACCCTCGTTCCATGTATCCGATTATCACGTTCCAGCAGATGAAATTGTCATTTCAGATATCTTTACAGCAATCCAAGGAGCGAAACGACCCGTCATATCTCCTTCAGCATTCTCTGATGACGATTTTCTACTCGCCTTCCCAAGCTCGATACAGTACCTTTACTGCATGCATCTCATCATCCGTAGCTGGGCCATTCAGGAAATGACTTCGCTCAAGATTGACATCAAGACGAGAATATCGCGTATCAAAAAATTCCTACATACTGTCCTTCTCAGCAAAATGTGCAGCGAAGAGATGTCGCTTTTCCCAGAGCTAAAGGGGTCTGAATCAGCTACCAAGAAGAGAGTGCCTGGGTTCGTCGAGAACGCTGTTGCCAGTGCCCTCGTCAGCCCTGAGGTAAGACTGTTTACGAAAGCTTGGAATGATATAGCTCTCCAATATGGCCACAGCAGTCTGGACTCACTCGAGAACCTGCTAAACAGGATGAAACAGTCCATGGACAGGAAAGAGTTTTCTACGCTCGCTTCATTCCCCAAGAGCCAGTCTGTCCTTGTTCCTAGTCTGGGCTGGATATTTGAACGAATCATAGAGATCTGCTTTTTAATGCCTGACGCGGTTGACAAAAAGGATACTACCATCAACTTTGATAAAAGACGATATCTCCATCACTTCTTGCACTTGATTATTAACGTACAGATGGACATTAACGAGAAAAGATTGGAAAGCAAAGGACTGAGTATGTCTTTTCTGATATCACCAAACACATCCAATACATCTTGGAAAGAGCTGAAGGAATATGCTGCATTTGAAAGTAGAAAGAACGCGTCTCAGGGCAGTTCATCCGGTAAAGGCCTACGCGGTCCTTCAAGCAAATCACACGCGTCAAAGACGGCCATCTTTAGCGTCCTAGTAGCAAAGCAAACAGAAAAACTAAAGAGAGATTTTAAGGAAAGAGATCGTATCGACAAAGGTTGGCTCACGTTTCAACACAAACAGCAAAAGAAACAGCTAGAACAAGCCAGGGCAGTTGAAAGACACGAACGACCACAGAGCATGATGCCACGACTCAACTCATTCTTCAAGGGGCTTCGACCGCCTTCTCTCGTGTCTTCGCCCATTCACCATATATTCCCTATCAGCAACAACCACGATCAGCTTGCTGCTACTAAAGCATCGACGGTCATCAATCTGATCCACTCCACGACATCCGTCGCCAGTACGTACATGAAGAGAGATTTTGTGTTTCGTATTGTCACAGAAGAAGGCGGACAGTACCTGTTCCAAGCGATGAACCGTGAAGACATGTATGATTGGATGCGACAGATAAACGACACTGCACGAGAAGGAGCGGCCAAGCGTCAAAGCATATTAATTGCCGAATCAATGGATAATGAATCTGAAAGAAGACAGAGCGCTGTTTTGCTCACTGCATCGAGAAGCCAAACCACATCTAATCGAAAATCGGTCTATGGCGTTCCTTTAGATGTCCTCATGCGTGACGGTCAAGTGCCTATGATTGTAGAAAAATGTATAAAAGAGATCGAACGCCGTGGTCTTGAAGAAGTAGGCATCTACCGTGTAGCAGGAACCGGATCCATCGTGACTGCATTAAAAGCAGAATTCAATAAGGATGTCAACAAGGTTGATCTCAGTGATCCCAGATGGGCAGATATCAATGTTATCGCAGACGCCTTTAAACAATTTCTACGTGAACTACCCGAACCTTTACTCACCTATACATATTATGATGAATTTATTAATGCATCAGGTAAAAAGTGGAAAATACAGAATATATGGCACATACTAACTTTATCCATAGCTTCTGAAGATCACGATCAAAGGGTCTATTTGATTAAAGAGGTTTTGAAAAAGCTACCCTATTCCAATTATACTCTTCTCAAGAAGATTATTGAACATTTTATTACGTAAGTCATCATTTATTCTTATTTTAAACAACCATAGCTAACATTTTTTGATAGCGTCACTGATTTCGAAGGCATCAACCACATGTACGCAACCAATTTAGCCATCGTCTTTGGACCTACTCTTCTACAACCCGCACCAGGGCCTGCATCATTTGCTACAACCATGTCAAATCTAGGACATCATCAAAACATTGTTAAATATCTCATACTGAACTACCATTATTTATTTGATGTTGAAAACGAGGCAGTAGAAACAAAGGACGAGCAAGCGTAAGGGTGAAACCCCAATGGTTTCTTTATTGTTTTTTTTGTGTATATCATTTTGTTTTTATTTACCCTTGACCCTTTATTTCTTTCTTTCTTTATTATTAAAGCACTGGGGCCGGTTCTCATTGTTATTAATTCCAGGCATAATAAATAAAAAGGCAATCTACATAGTATACTCCTTTAACTTGTTGATTATCTGAGTTTTATCTTTAAACATATAAATAGATAAACGATTTTCATTAAGAAAAAGCTTCAACCACATTTCTTTCTCCTTTTTTAATATTCCCTGATAGAGGAAAAAAAAAGGCTAGCATAATACAGAGATATATTAACATGACTCAATCAAACATCCTTTCCCCACCCATGACCCCTAAACGCAAAGTAGAAGCTTGGTTTTGCAATCCAGTTGACAGGAAAGACTTTATACGCCCAGATTCTGTTCCTGACTCACCCCCTTCGTCTACACTATCGGCATTCAATCTACAAACGTGTGAATTACGAAAAGATGGCCAGAGCCGAGACGGCTTGGACGCATATATTGTGCAACCTCTTTTACGAGCTTCTTATGCCATCCACCCGCGGCAATCTCCACCATTATGCCGTCAAAAGCGCAAGCCCAAGTGCTCACTCCCTACAACAACTCAAGGATCGTTCACGATACCCATTGCGTACCTTTTGAAGCAGAAAATGTCCCCTACAACGCCATATAATAAGGTTGTGTTTCAAGATCAGACACGTAAACGAAAGAATAGAAACATGCCTTGTACTACAAAGAGAAAATTGCTACGCTTGGCGGCATCAGATATCAGCAGTAGTAAAAGCGTGGCAAAGTCAAGGAACCGTGAACCCAAGGCTGTGTATCACGCCACATCATCATCTTTGACTGATGGGAACGTGTCCGGTGACTTGCTAAGTCGAGTCTGTGATCAAAACCTACTTCAAGAGAATGACCAGGATGATATGGAAAATGAAGATGTTCAGACGGGAGCTATTAATAGCAACAAAGCCAAGAGAGATGCAGCTTATTTCTTTGATCAGGTTGCTGCTGACAGTGATATTGCTACTATTTTTAAAGGCAAGGAAGACTGGATTCCAAAAGTAGATGCGCTTGAGAACCGGGCTGGAATTCGTGTTGCCTGGAAAGGTAAGGATTGTCTGCTAAAATGTAGATTATCTCATAAAAAAAGGAAACACTAATGTGTTGATATCTAGGCTCACCTCTGAGGATCCAATCAATGCCTTATTTTGAAAAACTTCATCCTGGCGAGGTACCCATTGCATCTGGTCTTCGATTGACACCTGAACAATATTTAAGATGTAAATATGCTTTAATTTTAGCTGCACATAAGGCATCACAAGACAATTCGTTGTTTAGAAGATCAGAAGCACAAAAGGCTTGCTGTATTGATGTAAACAAGGCGAGTGTTCTCTGGAAGGTGTTTGGTAAACTAGGTTGGCTGGGTTCAAAGTGGCCAAACTAAATCAGCTTTCTTTTTTTTTACTTGGCAACAATTTTAATATCTATATATATATATATATATGTGTGTGTGTGTGTGTATGTTTTATATTTTGTATTTATAAGATTTTCTTTATTCTTTATGCTTTGCTTATTTACTTCATTAAAAATATTGTATTGTTATGTCTCTCTTTGTTCTATTCAATAAATCAAATCTGCTGTATTTTAATTCATTCTCTTGCCAAGACTAATGTAACACCTCTTCTTTATATACACGCATTCTCTCTCTTTTGATCGTCTTGCTAAAGCTTATTGCCACTTGGGTTTGTTCCTGCCAATCATTCTATTTAAAGTCAGAATTATCGATGCTTTGATTAGGTCACATAAAACGTTAATTAAAAATATAATAGTTTTTTTATTGATTGTATTACTTTCTGTCATTATACAAGAAAAAATTCTTTTTCTTCTTTTCAGCCAATTAGCCTTTTTCGTCAATAGATCATCAATTTATCTGTAAAAGGGCTAGAAGCCGGAAAAGAAGGGAGAGGGAGTCTATATTTGATAACACCCTGAACAGACTTACTGAGAGAAAGAGATCTTGGAGACGATAAAGTATTTCATTGTCTGAGTATAAGAGACGTCATAATATGTGATCTGGACGTATATTCATGCAGAATGAAAAAATATTTATCATTAAATATGGACATTATAATAATCCGTTGGGGGTCATCAAAGAAACATCCCCATTCAAGTTTCAATAAAAGTGTATTAATAAGGGCGCACTGACTAGACAATTCCTTACTTAGTTTATTTTATACGTGCATTAAATTATATTAGCAACAACTACCTTTCAGTAAAAGATCCAACGTGAAACATGAATTTACTCGCATAGTTGAAGAAAAGAGAATATGTCACTTTGAAACGAAACCATGTGTTTTGAATAAACTATGTGATGCCTATATCAGCATCAACAAGTCATTTTTTATTGCTTTAAGCGGGCACTCTTCACCACAGGTTTTCTATGTAATCTTGCGTGTACCGCTGCTCCTAGCTCATACATTCCCCAGCAGAGAACACCAGACATGACAAAGAAGCCAATACGCATCCATAGTGTAAAATCACCGAGGAAAGGGTATGGCCAATAGCCATTTTTCGAATGACAGTATGAGGACCAGATGAAGTAGAATAAGGTGAAGGAGTAAATAACAAGAACATGAGCATTGGACCTGACAAAGTCTATGTCAAACATCAAAAAGTCAATCCACAAAAAGATGGCAGGAAACAGGTGAAGGGTAAAATCTAAGAGAAGAGGAATACGTGGTAAATCCTCAGGCACGAGCAGACGAGGGTCTATTAGTAGCATTGACCAATACAAGACGCTAATAAGGCCTTCCATCTGAATGAAGTATTATGTAAGCAAGCAGTTTAAAGTATTTTTTTTGGCTCTAAACTTACAGGTGTTGCAATGTTTGTCACAATTGCATATATTACTGTTAAAAAAAAAGTTAGTATTGGAAAACACTATGCTTTTGTTCCAATGTTACAAGAAGAAAACGTGGGTACAAAATAACGAAGGATCTTTAAACCGAAGGCAATAGTAGCTGTGACTAGTCCAAGAATTGTCAAATACTATAATAAGCTTTAATACGCACTTGTCTACCACCATAATATTTGTGCTGTCAACTTACTTGATACTGACCACCAAAGCCCAAAGAATAAGGATTTTGTAAGACCGTCGAATTTATATTTTTCAGTGCATATAGGTTGGAATACAAGCCAATGGCATTGATAAGTAGTCTTACTTCCTTTACTGACATTTTATTGCACTATTAAGAAAAAAGGTAAAGAGAAAAGAAAAGAAAAGAAAAAGAACAGAGAATCACGACGAGGAGTTTTAAATTCTGTCTTTAGTTGTTTTTTTTGTTGCTTTATAAATAGAGCGCTCATCTTTTTTTCTGATCATTCTGCAGAGAGTATCTTTACTTCAATGCACTCCATTTAGAATGCATGTTGTTGATGAGCATTTAAAAATTATGCAAACTAGCATTATATGCAACTAATGCGGAGTATTAACATGATACACGAGTGATGTTGTTGTGCGAATAATCACAATAACTTCTTCTTTACATGTGATCCTTGAAGCTCGATTAGACAACTATGAGTATTATGACATTGAAGGTAATTATTTATGGTTAAAAAAAGGGCCCTGAATGATCATGCTGATTATTACTTTGATTTAAACATGCATCATATATCTAAATTGCTTTTTTGAACCTAAAGACAACATTCAATAGACTCTAGAACAATGGCTTTATATTTTATTGTTTTAAAAGAGCAGTTCAAAAAAGGATAAAAAAAAAGTATATCATCATTAAACATGCTGTGGCAACTCAATCAAGTTGTACAATACCTAATATGGTAATGAGTGTTTAAGGAGTAGTAACAGACGCGTCTTAACATGAAGATACACATAACCCAGGCATTGTGTGCAAAGACTACTCTTGCAAATAGAGTCTAATTTGATAGAAACACAATTTTATGATGTCATTAAGAGCTTGAATAATACAAGATTTTTATAATCTTTGCAAGGTTCGTCCAAGAGCCAATTTACCCACGTGAGAAGGGTTAAAGTTTATTCAAAAAGTGTCACGGCCAGCTTCACCGACCAAAAATAAAATGAGGTTCGACCGAATGATATTATGTTAGAATGTCTAATTCATTCTTGACACTTTCAGCCGAGTTGTCACGATCTATCCTTGGAGAGCCTTTTGTACAACCGTCTTCAATTTGACTCAAGGACCTTTTCAATAGGATTAAGAAAAGTGAATAAAAGATATCCATGACACTGATTAAGAATGTCATAAATTCTTTTCAGTTAATTCCTGCTTTTTGTTCCTTTAAGACCAAGGTCAATGACACTGAGAGAATAGATTACACTTAGTGTGTTGGCTTCTGAGGGGATTCAGTAGAGGAAATTTTCGAAATAGAAAAAGTTTTGATACACCATTGAAATAACCTCCTGCATCTATGCTTTGTCTGTTTCTTTCAATTTGTTCAATGTTGTGATCTGACGTTGTATAGTTCGACTGAGCCTCTGGCATTCGCGTACTTCCAATTATTGCAACTCAGGAGGAAACTCTGGAAATCCTTCAACAACATTTAAAAGCCTTTGTTTCCAATCTCCTTTAAAGCTTTTATCATAAGCAACATATACAGTAGAAAAAAAGCCATGTCTCTTTGAAATCTGCTCAAGTAACTTCACATACGCTATAGACAATATAATAATAATAATAACGAAAAAATACAAATGAATTTATGGATAAAGAAAGCTCATTATTACAAATAATTAAAGTAACATCGCGTTTTACGAGAATAAATACAAAGTTGATTGTGATACCATTTGGTGATCCATGGTCATAGTGACTGTTGATAATTATGTGAGTATTTTTTTTAATCACAGTTCAAAGTCACTAAAAAAGAAGTGATTGACGAATCCTTCCAAAATAGGGTTTTTCTTTTATTATTAAAGCAGACCTACATCAGGTTCGACATTTACAAACGAAAAAAAAAAAGATGGCTCTGCCCAACCTGTGGAAGATATACGCATCATTTCGTACACCAGAAGAAGAAAGACAGTTTTCTCGGTCAGCTTTCTTTAAGTTTAGTGGATATATTCTTTCTTGTATAGCCATGACTGTATTTGCGTCTAAATATTATAATAAATCAACCAAAGCACTTTTGTGATGATAGCAAACACGTCTTTTTTTAATATTTATACTGTGGTAAGCACTGTTCATGCATGATATGAATTTTCTTTGTTGGCTCAAAATAAACTTTATTCTAAATACTCCATTTGAGCTTGTTAGTTCTATATTGATACAAGTTTCCCTGTCAACAGCACAGTATCACTAGGGCGTTGTCTTTAGAATATGTGAATGAGATATTAAGGATATATTTGTGGATGTACTTGATTATAGTCTCATATTTCATTAATCCTTTCATTATATGGGAATATTCCATATAAAGCAATTACGCCATATATACTAGCATCTTTACACCTATAGAGCAAGTTCTAACTTTACTATCAACGATTGATCCGGTATTCAGCAACTTATAAGGGCATTACTAATATTCCATTGCTTTAAGGTAGTATTTTTTTGTTACAAAATGTAATCTCAGAAATCGTACACAATTTAGTTCCGATTATTTGGATACAATTATTATATAAATATCTTTCTTCATCTCTTCTTCTTCACACTATTCTTTTCCTCTCCTCTCTTTTTCCTTTCTATAAGCAACTAATATTATGACATTCACTCCTATTGAAGATATCCCTGGCATTGTTGGCTCGCTTCGTAAGCAGTTTGACACTGGTAAATATTCATCTCTGTTCCTGTTGATCCAATATTAAATTATGGTTACTTTTTCTTGTCAGGTCTGACAAAGGATATCAAGTTTCGTAAGCAACAATTATCCAATTTAGCTCGATTCTGTCTTGAGAACGCAGAAGCTCTGCTCGATGCTGTCTATAAGGATTTGCGTAAACACAGAATTGAAGCTGATATTGGTGAAATCTCTCCTGTGGTCGACGAGTGCGAATACATGATCAAGCACCTTGATCAATGGGTGAAACCCACTCACACTAGCAAGCGATCTTTGTTTAGTGCATCAACAAAGACCTATATTCGAAAGGATCCCAAGGGTGTTGCTCTTGTTATTGGTAAATAAGAACCTTGCTTCAATATTTGACCTTGCTAACTGATCTCTTTTCTTATAGGTGCATGGAATTATCCTGTAGGATTACATTTATAACAAAAAAAAAACATCAACGTGTAACCTATTTCTTTTTTTGTTATAGGTCAACTTGCTCTTAATGCCTGTTGTTGGTGCTATTGCAGCCGGTAATTGTGTTGTTATCAAAGTATGAAAAAAGAACAAATGATACACAAGTAAGCTTAACTTTATCTTCCCCCCTGTTAGCCATCTGAAGTCTCTGAGCACACTGCCAAAGCAATTGCTACTCTCTTGCCCAAGTATTTAGATGCTCGTGCTTACGCTGTTGTTTCTGGTGGAATCCCTGAGACAACTGCTCTTTTAGGTAATGGTGACCTTTTAATCTAATGTCGCCCATTGAATATGAGTTAATCTTTTTCTTTTTAGAACAACGTTTTGATCACATCTTTTACACTGGTAATGGTCAAGTTGGCAAGATCATCATGACTGCTGCTGCTAAGCATTTGACATCTGTCACTCTCGAATTGGGTGGTAAATCGTAAAGTATCCAAAAAGAAAAAAGTTACAAAAGTAGGACAAACATGTATTAAATGTTGCACATTTAGACCTGTCTTCGTTACATCCAAAGCTGATTTGAAGGTTACTGCTCATCGACTAATGTGGGGTAAATACTTCAATGTCGGTCAGGTACGTTAGTAACATCCCAGTCGTTGGCTCATTGTACTCACAATGGCATATAGACATGTGTTGCGCCTGATTATGTCTTGGTCACAGAAGACTTGGTTGAGAAGTTTATCCAGGCTTGCCGTGATGTTCTTGATGAATTTTATGGTCAAAATATTCAAAAATCAAATTCTTATGGTCGTATTATCAATCATCGTCAATTCGATCGCTTAAAGGGAATGCTCGATAAGTGCGATCCCAAGACGATTGTGATTGGTGGACAGACGGATCGTGAAGATCTCTTTATTGCTCCTACTCTTGTCTGTCCAGTAAACCCGGATGATCCTAACCTTATGCAGCAAGAAATCTTTGGTAAGTTCATTGGTAGATTATTTTTATATCATTTAACCTTTTTTTTTGCCCTTAGGTCCCATTCTTCCTATTGTACCTATTAAAGATGTTGAAGAAGGCATTCAAATTGTGAATTCTAGAGATTATCCTCTTGCTCTTTACATCTTTACAAGTGATAAAAAGGAATACAACTATAGTAAGTATATATAACTATTTCCTGACGTCATTGGGCTAACAAAATGAATATATAGTCCTTGATAGAACCAACTCAGGCGGTGTCTTAGTCAATGATATTCTCATGCATCTTCAAGAACTTTCTTTACCTTTCGGAGGCATTGGTCCTTCTGGTTCTGGAAGTTATCATGGTGAAAAGTCCTTCTTGACTTTTACTCATGAAAGGTCAACCATGGTAAAGGATTATGGTATGGAATCTGTCACTGCTATTCGATACCCTCCTTATAATGATGACAAGGTAACTATTCTCAATGCCTTTGTTTATTCTATGCCTCCCACTGTTGGTGGAAAGATCAAGTTTATCAGCAACTTTTGTGGTGCATTTTTGAATTATTTTTTCAAAAAGTCTCCTGTTTCTCAAAACGATAGCAAATTATAAAAGAATTTTTTTCTTTCTTTCCCTTTTTTTATTATTATTATTTATTATGTCTCCTACAAATACTTTATTTTCAACAGATTCAACAGAAAAGAATAAAGAAAGAAGGGAATTAGCCGCTCATTTAGCAACACATGATACTTGTCTTTGGACTGATGAAGATGTTACTTTGTTATTACTTGAGTTAGAAATTGAAATAGGAGAAGGCACAAATAGGTTTATATACGATGACGAACGAATGTCCTATTGCAATTATCTCTCTCAAACTGCCTTTTCTCATCAAGCAAAGACACCTAAAGATATTCTCGATAAAATTGTCTGGTTATGGACTACCTGGGAAGCTATCAGTAAAGCAACAGGTAAGTCCTGGTGGAAAGTTACTGAAGCGGAAAAATATAAACTTTCTCTTGTGAAGGATGACCAAGGTACATATATTATTTCCTCGTTATATATCCCTCGCTTTATCCTCATTCCATAAATCCTATGCTGGTAAACCTGTAGACCAACAGCTGATCTCTATGTTTAAGTATTATAACGAATGTGATCGAATATTTGCTTATATCAAAGAAGATGAAGGCGAAGTGGATGATGAATTCTTGTTTGATGAAGGATCCAGCATTTATTACTAATATAAAGAATATATACGATAACAATAACAACAACAACAACAACAATAACAATCAATTTTTTCTATTTGCAGATAACAGAGGAATTCATAATCATTGTATAAACTACCTCCCTTTTTGCTGGAGGGGAGGAATGCTTGCTTCCTATATTATAGTCATCTATGGCTTCCTTATCCTGTGTTTTTCAAGCACAATATACCTTGTTCCTAAAGGTTATCTCAAATACTAAAAGGAAGTCCTTTTTATTATAATAAAACCCCTTTTCAAGAGATTTTTTTTATGGCTTAAGATAACAAAAAATGATTGCGGGTATCACCCTTAAATATACACTATGCTTAGGATAAATTCACAATTAACATCATATTACTAATATATAAACAAATGCTCATTGTGGCCAAAAATAGTTTAAAAATATATACGACCAGAGCTTTACAATATATAGTCTTGCTCCGTATACAGCTTGATACAGTCTTCACGGAATATTACTTGTAGATGCATGTCAATTCAAGGGAAAAAAAAATGTCACATTTATATGCGAAAAAGGCCAAACAAGTTGACAACAAGCAAAAAAGCTTCAAGTAGTCGAGTTTTCATAAGATAAGACTTACCTTTTCCTTTATTCTACAAATGACCCTGTGCAACGCTTTAGGACCCATTGTTACTCTTTCGAATACCAACGAATACAGTAAGAAATCAACGTTAAGAAGATATTGGTTTGTGTCCATTTCCTTTAATCTTTGACATTTAGCTTTTTATAGATTTCCACGGCTCCTTTGTATCTTGTAGTATTTTAAGTAAATCAGGGTTTAATATAACTATAGTAAATCGTGTAACCTTGCACTCAACAGCAGATGGGTGATAGTTGTTCATGTCAATCAAAGAAATTTGCTTAAAATAGAGCAGAAAAGAACAGAAAGGACAAACAGCGTGCAAGAATATCAGAAAAAAAAAAAGAAAAGCTATTCTCAATCGTTTATTGGGTAGTGTTTCTTTCATGGTCTGTTTTGAAGTATTTGATGCTGCTTCAAGACTTTTCAATTCAACGCCACGACGTCGTTACATTAGCGATAACTTTGGTCTTTCAGATGATTCACAGCGATCAGATGGACTTGAAAGACAACGAAATGAACCAGCGGTTTTTTTTAAATCTAAGGAACGAGTAACATCTAAAATATTAAATAAGCTGTGGCCAAGTGCTCGATATTACACTCAGTTTACATTTGATCAACAGCTGGAGAAATAACATGACTCTGACTTTGGGTTAGTTGCAAAATCAGATATTGGTGCTCTTAACGATTGCTAGGATGTGGCAATTCCGATCCGACATCGACCATTTGCAAGATTAGGATGTATGGCTTATCTAGTTGAATGGGTAGATAATAGAAGTAATATCGATCATTCATGCACTAAACGGCATCAAGTCTAAGGGTAAACAAATTGAGTCTTGGGAAATACCAAAGCATTTGTTCTAAACGAAGAACAGCGTGCTGCGCAGTTCAAGGCTCTGATAGGAAGAAATCACGCCTTGTTTTTGATGCATATGAGTAGCGGCAATGCCTCCCAAGGTCAGTCCAGTTCAAGATACCATGTCCAATTCAGAGTACTGTTACTGTGTACGGTGGTGATTAGACTGTCTACATGGTAGTAAGCCATCATATATGACAACTTTTGATGGACCATAGCTATAGACCGTTTCAGTATGCACCAAAGCCTATTATATCTAAAAATATAAAATATTCACTGCTATGGTTTATGAATATATCTCTACTATATCTCTTGAGTCCCTCTGCATTAGCCCTCTCTTGGCCACAATGATGGCCAATTATCTGTCCCGTATTATATGAGTTAAATCAGCTATTTTATGACAGTCAGTTTCCCTATCAAATACATATGTGGTCAGAAGATCCTTGGATGAACTAATCGTTTCATTTAACTTCCCGTTATTATTTTTACTCAACTCTTGCCTTTCACCCCTTTCTTTCCTCTGAGTTTTGAGGGGTCTTCTAGTGCAACGTTCTCATGGATTGTCCTGATGATGATCTTTTATTTGTTTTGAGCTCATTTGAATCATTAAATAAAGATTATGCTTAATCGATTAAAAGTATGTTAAAAAGCTCAGAATAGATGTATAAGAACGTGCTGACATGTATTTTTTATCTTACGCCAGAACTGTTTTGTCAGTCCAGGTAGGCCAATATATGACGTAAAATTAGCTCTGAACATCATATGCACTGCAGCGAATATGCTTCCTGCAGTTTATGCATTTACGAAGAAATGATCAACAAAATAAAGCGAAACAGAGCATATTCATTTAACCAAAGATAGTAAGATGTGCTTATAGCCAATAGTAAATGGCCATGACAACAGTGTCTACATGGACCTGCTTTAGTATAAAAGAAGGGCAGTGTTTTTCACAAAAGACACACACCAGCTTGATCTCATACTTTTTTACTCAAATGCAAATCAAACTTGTTATTCTTACTATCTGTGCCTCTCTTGCCGCTATCGGCCTTGCTGCGCCTCCTCCCTCAGTTGGCAAACCTGCTGGTGCAAGTAAAGGTGCTGTAGGATCTGATCCTTTTGGAAGCCTTAGTGGTACTCTTGGAGGCGTTACCGGTGGTAAAAAAAAGGGAGGGCTATTAGGAGGCACTCTAATCCCTGGAATTCTTTAACCACTAAACTTGCAGTAAAACAATGTTCCATTAAATGGAATTCATAATGTCAATGTATAACAAAGTATCAATAAACTTGATTGTTCTTTTTACACACTTATTATTCAATCTCTTTTGTTTCTATGCGTCATCAAGACTGTGATTTATTTTAAAGCAATAAAACAAGTAAAACTGTGAAGCATTTCATTAAAGCACTATACCTTAGCTTAAAAATAAGTTGTATTCGTACACTCCACGAGATCAGTTTTACATTTTCTCTAAGCATGAATAATCTGCTTCTATATGATGAATATATGTAGTATTGATTAATTTGTTTACATGTATGCACTGGGTTATAAAACCTCTAAATATGTGATGCTAGCTTAGAAGATCTCCTTCACGACATTCAAGATGACACTGTTACAACTAATCCTTACGTCCACTAATTCAATGAAACTTCTCCAACAATACCCCTAGAGACAGTATCTCCTACATCATCCACGGATTTATCTTCGTATATCGTCAATAACTTATATATTTCTAGCCTAAAACATCAATAGACACAACTATTCCAATTTCAGGAAGAAGTAGCCCGACTGCGCAAACCAATTAAGGAACGAGACCAAACGATCCGTGAAACTTGGAGCACAGCTGGCTATTCAGTTGAACCCACCTATTGCCAGTCAGGCGCAAAAAGTTACGTCAAAGTCACTGCTACTATGAGAAAATCTGCGCAGGACATACTATACAGCCAATGTAATATCATTCTGCTGGCCCACAAGCAGCTGTTGATACTATAATCTAGCATTTATTTTCTCCTACTCACTCCTGGCTCTAATGCTAGCATCAGCATTTTGACTAACAACAGCATCAGACTATAGCAATATTCCTTTAACAGCAACTATGATCCAAACGATTACTCAACAGCTTCCCAATCACAAGGCTCCAGGAGTTGACCATTTCACCAATGAAATGCTTTGATTCATCTCCTACTCTCCCTCTCCCCACGTCTTGCTGCCATTGTTTCGTCTGTGCTGATATTGGAATTGAATACTAACCAATCGACATGCCGTACAGGTAATTCTAATTTACAAAAAGAAAGAAGCACAGCCGACGCTGTCAATTATAGTTGATGATACATCAAGTGTACAGCCTTTTGCTCCTTGAGAAGGTTAAAAGTAGTTTATGGAATCAGAGATTATACACCTGCAAAGTATGTGGTACACTTTGATAATGAAAACTGAATGCTTCTCATCAGCATTATGCCAACTCGTTGTGGTCAATAAGGAAGGGATGGAAACATAATCATAAACCAATCGCCTCAGACTAAAACAGATAAAATTATTCACTTTTTGACAAATCAAAATCATGCTTCATTGTTTCTAAAAATCAATCATGATTTGTTCCTCGTTTTGTCTTTTCACTTTCTAATAGTTTGGTTTTAAGGTTAAAAATTAAGGAGAAAACTATTGAAAAACAATAATCCCGAACAGAGAATACTTGATTAAAAATGCATAACCAAAGATTCTGTGTGCGTGGAGGTAGCACCGTGTTACACATTATTACTATTTTAAGATCCAAAATAGGAACAATAAAATGAATGACTTTCGACCTATTTAGCGATTTCCGAAATAATTTCCAAAAAATAACAAGTATTTACTTTGGTTGAATGCAATGTAGAGTCTAAGGAATAGGTCAATTCAAATCCCACGATCCATTGTGATCGGAGCAGAACCAGTTTAACCAATCAAAAGCCTCAATTGAGTAATATGAAACGAACCTCAGTTAGCCAATTAAAACTTAGATTAGACAATCCTTAAATAGGACAGGGCCACCCTTTTTAATTTTTTTTTCTTTTTTTCTTTATCTCTTTTAAAATGTCTGCTGCCGCCAACGCTGCCAAAAAGTCTTTCTGGTCTATCTGGTACAAGCCTGAAGTTGCTCCCATTTTTGTTGTCGTTGGTGGTGCTTGTTCCTTGGCTGGTTGGTACCTTACCCGTCTTGCTCGGTAAGTAACATAATATGTGTGTATGATATCATTTTTATTCATATACAATCTAATAGTGGTCCTGAAGTCGTCTGGGATCGTACTCGCAACCCTTATCCTTGGCAAAACATTGACCAAAATACCCAAGTCAAGCTCTTGACTGTCAACCAAAAGTTCGATAAAGTCTACTCCCGTGATCGTCTTTAGATATTTTGCCCCTGCAAAAATATGAATTGTTTATTTTATTAGATAAGATATTTATAGAATAAAAAGTGTATTCTTTTTGTTTGTATATGTTCTGAAATATATGTTCATGTTTATGTATAAAGAGTGAAATAATACACAAAGCAAGTATGGAGAAAAAGGGGAAGGAGTGGGGGTGTATATATATATATAATACTTGAGTTATAATATAGTAAATATATATATTTATACATATATATATAAGCTGGAGTGTATGTGTTTCTCTGTATACATATACATATAAATATATATAAAGTTATTAGTGATTAAGAGATTAAGATTCTTCTTTTGCTTCTGACATAACGTCATCTTCTCCATCTTTTTTATCATCCATTTGTGCCGGTTGTTTATCTTCATCCGAATGTGCTGACTGTTTATCTTCGTCCATATGCGCAGATTGCTTATCTTCGTCCATTTGTGTCGCCTGCTTGTCTTCCTCCATTTGTGAAGCCTGCTCTTCTTCTTGCTGCTTTAGCTTCTTTTGCTGTTTCTCCAATACATCTTTATCTACAAACTCCATCACAAATGATCGAACGTCACTATCCTTATCTAATGCAAATCGATATGTCATCTGATCTAACGCATGTCCTGACTCTTCATTGACCGTCCTTGATGGAGCAGCAATACCACTCAATTCTCGGCAAAAAGGTTCTACATATATTGTCTTAAAAAAAGGATGAGACAGAATCCAATCAACTTACCGTTCGTATAAATTGTACCAATCGTACGTGAGGCTGCGATACGTACATTGACCACTGGGTCATGAGCCAAAGGCGCCAATCGAGGTAGGAAGAAGGAGGCAAAATCAGATGCACCGATACCTGATTCGATCAACGCTTGACAAATTTGAGCGAATCTAAACAAAAAAAATGAGCATATTTTTGATGTTTGTCAATTAGACTTACACAAGTCGACCTCGGTAATGATTTGAACGCGCAAATTCGTCCAGCCTCTCCATGACATGACTCAGTAAGGCAAGAGCGAAATTCTTTTTGTTTTCGACAACGTCGTCACCGTACCCATCTGCCTGAGACAGGCTCTCGCCGTCCTCCTCGACAGCATGTCTCACGACATCCAAGATGACAGGGAAGACGCCAACGCCAGTCTGTCGGACAGCGGCGAATTCGTCATGACATGCGCGGACGACGAGGGGCAGGACATGTTCGACCACTCGCGAGGCATCAAAGAGTAAAGAGATCTCACGAAGTTGACGAGCCAAGATGTTGCGCAGATGCCAGTTGGTAGCAACGCCATCCCAGACTTCGGCAAGGATTGGAATATACTCATTTCGTGAGGACACAGCCAAGGTGCCCAAGAAATCAGCCAGATGTTCGAGCACGCCCTGTTTGACGTCATCGAGGTCCATTAGATAAAGAGCAAAGATTTGGACGAGGTCACGTTCGGTTCGTTCAGGGCCGATGATGCGTGCGATATCGTGCAGAGAGTGCGCAAAGGTGCAACGAACCTTGATCTGGTAGTCCTTGGTCAGGTTCAAGTAAGTTTCACGCAAGTGAGTGTCCCAAAAATCGGCGCCGGCGGTCATAACGACGGCCGGAAAGTTATAGGCACAGATAAAGGGTCGATCTATTTCGAGCTTGAGCATCTGCGTGTTGCTGTTGTTTGCCGTTGTAGCGCCCAAGGAAAGAAAGTAAGACAGGAGTGGTTCAGGTATCTTGCCTGGTTGACCTGTCTTTTCCCAGTCGGCAGGTAGAAATCGTGCGATGAGTTCGCCAACAATATCGGCTAATGTATTGCGTACACTGCGTGAGACGTCGTTACGGAAAGTTTCGACACTTGTCACTGTCAGATCAATCTTGGCTTGATCTGATAGTGCGCTGCAAACTGAGGGAAGTGCTAGTACACATGATTTACGCACATGCCAGATTTGATCCTCGCAGAATTGACGATACAGTGGGAGCTATAGGGCAATGAATGAGCAAACATACAACACAATCGGCCTTTATTACCAATCGCTGCTCTACTAACTCAGTGTCGAGTACAAGTGCCAAATTTCCAATGGCAGCCGCTGCCTCTTTTCTAACATAAAACATCGTATCGGACGCAAGCTGTTCAATAATCGGCAAGCAAGTTTCCACACATCTTTCTTTGCCCAATATATTTGCAATCGACGCAACTAACTTGCAAAAAGAAAGGCACCCAGTTACACAATGACAATTTATTATTTGAGTCAAAAAACTTACTGATATACATGTCACTTTAGCCAAGCTGACTTCTCCTTGATCAAACTCATCCTCTGTTGATTCAAAACCAGGTGTAGACGACCGACGTCTCTCTATTTCATTGTCGATCGACACACGGCGATCCTCAAAATGCGGTCGTTTTGATTTGCCGTCGACAATGGCCATCAGTCCATCGATGAGGCCCTTGTGTATCTCTGAATCAATCAAGTCTTTCATATCGTTTTCACATAACATGCTCACGACGGTAATGATCGCTTGCTGACCTAGTGAAGCGACGGCTGAATTTTGGTCCAAGAGGATAGTGATCATGAGAGGAGCAAATGATTTATCCTGTGTGCTGTCTTCTTTACGTGTGAATGTACAAGGTGTGTTCTATAAAGTATTAGCTTCTGTGTCTCTTGTTTTATAAATTTATAAATATATACTTTGTAAAAATAAAGTAATATTTGGTCCAGTTCGCTTGAAAATGTTTCTCTCACTGTGTCATCTGAATCAGACGATAATTTCTCCATGATGGGTATCACATGTTGTACGGATGCTTCAGTACCAAGCTCTTCTAGTGCATTTGGTAATTCTTTGGCTAATAAAAGTCTACCCTTCAAATATTAATTCTAATACACACACATTTAACAATAACAACCTGTGGATAAGAATGTCGCCTTCTTTAAATGCATACACGCGTTCAGCAGGTGTCCACTTTTCATCTGCAAGTAAATCTTCTTCTTTTTAAGTGAACAAAGAATGAGTGATTTGTGATTCACATGAATATTTCCCATATTTAATAATTACCTTCATTAGATTCTGATGGTAGGGGTTCTTTAATAGTAGGAATAGTTTCAACGACATCATTGGTTAAATTGTCTTCTTTTTCATAGTCATCATCAGTAAAATCAAAACCGAGATCTTGAAAAAAGGTTAAGTAATAAGCCCTTTATCATATTTTTTTCTTTTTATTTACCAGCCATATTTCTAAAATATAAGTTCTATATGCTAATAATGGGTTTGTCTCTTTTTATATAATCAAAAAAGAGAGAGAGAAAAAAAGAGAAATAGAAAGAGACAAAGGCTAGACAAAGAGAGGCAAAGAAGTGGCAAAAAAGAAAGAAGGGTCGCACAACAACAAAAAGGAAATCAAAAAGGGAAATTTTGAAACAAATGATCACTCATTGGCTCATACTTTTCTCTCTTTTATACACTTTTTTTCATAAATTATTCGCACATATTACAAGATCAATAACAATTACACTCTATTTATCAATCTTTTCTTTATTATTAAAAAGACAACCTATAATAATACATAAAATGAGCTTGATATTTTTGAGGATTAAATAAATGTGGTCAACACTTATAAAAAATTCGTAACTGAAAAAGTTGTTAGAGACTTTATTTAAATAATCTGATCTTGATTTCTTTTTCTTTTCTTCTTTGGACCAAAAAGTAAGATCAGCCATTCCCCAGCTAGCCCTAAGGTATGTTATATTCTTTACTCTTGTAAAGAAACTGATGTATAGTATTATAGCTCATAAAATCGAAACTAACCCGGTTCTAGCTGGAGGTAGTTTGGTTCTTACCAAACTTTGGCCCCATCCACTTTCTTTTTTGCTCTCCTCTTTGCTCGCTCTCTCTCTCTTTTTCTTTCTTTGCTTTTTCCGGGCTGGCGACAGCCAGCTCAAACCGCTGACGATGTGATTCTCATAGTCACTAAGGCCGATACGCCAGCTCTCCTCAAGCCTTGCGAAGATCATAGTTACAAACTTGGGTACCAATGGAATCCAAGTAAATGTGTTATACTAGGCCCAATGCAACCGTCTCCAAGTTACACCCTCTATGGCGAACCAATTCCAAAGTAACCTTCCTTTCCTTATCTCGGAATTCCCTTTCGCCCAGGTGGTTATTTCGATGCAGTTGAATTGGTCAATCAAAATAAGACCAAGGCCCTTGCCACTATGAACCAACTGTCGGCTATTGGTATTCGCCCTGAAGGCTTTTCCCTTCTTCTTGGTATCTGCTTTTACAGCCGCATTGTCTGTGCTCAACTGGAATACGGTCTTGCCATTATCAAGATCACCACATTCCTTAGCAAGCAACTGGAAGATGCTCAAAACACCTGTTAGCGTCGGATTTTCGGTGGCTCTCACACATGCTCCACAACAGTAATGCTACATATGTCGAAATCATCAACCATGCAGGAGCGTGCTTATACTCTTCAACCTCAGCTCCTCTTACGCTTCTTTACTCTTCCAGGAGATGCTTTGTTACACTATCTTCTTCCACTTGTCCTCCAGCTCCGAAGCCACTCCCAATGGTACAAGCTTTCTAGGTCTCCCATTTGGAAGCGATGCCCTCTAACCCAGAGTCCCTGAATCGTCGCTCTTTACGGTCGATACAACGAGAATACCACCAAGACAATCTCAACAATAAACACTCTACGCATGCCTCCGTTCTCTTTATGCATTGTTGCCCAACTATCTCTCTCGACATTGTCCTATGACTACCTATATCCAAGTCAAAAAGAAGTCGCTGTATACGTTGGCGTCTTGACTGGCTTCTTGTTGGCCCATACAAAACCTGTCCTCGGCACCCTGGCCAGCCCTTCACAAAAGTCCATACCATTCACTGTCTCCAGATGCACCGTAGACTCATGATTCCCGAAACCATCTCTAACCCATTGTCCTTCCTTTTAAATATGCTACCTACCAGGAAACCTCGCTCTCCTAACACAGCACTCTCGTGAAGCATCCGCTGGCCAACTATATGCAGAATCCTATATGAACTCGATTACCTATATCACGCTAAGCTTCCGCCTTCTTTGCCCATCCATTTCGGGCAAAGACTCTTAGAATGGCTCCTCCCTTCTCCTTCTCATAAGTATGTCTTACACTTGACCCCATTCGCTCCTTCTAAAGCATTTTTACCCTTGATCCCAAAAGGGTTTTTTAGTAACCACTATCCCTCCTTTCTGAACTGCTCTCGGACGGGAAAGATGTAATATTACAATTGTGCGCCCATTAGAGGTTTTAATTATTTATAAACAAAAATCTGTTTAAACGTATGAAGTCAGTTTTTACTAATGCTGACTCATGTCTTTAAAATGAGAGAACAATGTCCTTTTCTGCTTTTACTATTTCAATTAAACCTTGCTGAAATGTGTCCATTGATGAAAAAACAATAAACGAGTGAAAGCATAGCATATCAATAAGCAGCTTACAAGGATTGTCTAGCATATGTTTACCTAACAATATTTGCTTTAATAATTGGATAACAAAAGGGAACGAATATGTCTCAAAACATTGTATGTATGAGCATATGCTTTTAATGCAACAATGTTTATAATAAAAATTGGATCAGAACTACAAGAGAAACAGCGAAAGGATACTATTGATGTCAGTGAGACATAATGCCTGATCAGGTAACCTTCTAGTTTAAGCAAATTTGGAGGCTCCATTTTTCATTCTTATAGACATATGCTTAGCTAATTGTCATAACGGAGAGCAACAGTTATGTGGTTCTCCATAATTTTTCACAATGTGTATATACAAGGGCAAGAAGAAAAAAAAGATGAATATGTATGAATATAATGCTGAGGGTAGCTTAGGTTTTATCCCACTTTCTTTCTTTTTTTCCATTTGAATATACAGCATTCCCAGCACCTTCTCTACTTTGTGATCAATAATATAATGCATCAGACCCCTGGATAAGCAACAAGAAAGAAACATCATAGTACTACAGTGTTCGGATGCTACTCTATATATCATTAGTCGAACAGTGTTTTCGTTTTTCTTTTCCTAAACGCTATCAGTCTCATATAGACTTAGAAATATATCTATGATATTCAATGGACATTGGAAATTCTAAAGTATACACTTTCTGATAGCTGTGCTACTGGGCTATTAATCACAGCAGGTCTTTTCTTTTATTATAAATTAAAAGAATTGCTTAAATGTACCTGCTTTCTTACTCTGAATAAAACACGTCAGTCTTGATGACGCATAGAAACAAAAAGAAACAAAAAAACAAAAAATGAATATGTTTGAAAAAAGAACTATCAAGTTTACTGATGCTTTGTTATACTTTGACATTATGAGTTCTCTTTTAATTGAGCATTATTGTGGCTTTGATGGTTGCTTTCTTCCCTTACTTTTTTTACCACCACCTAGAAGACCGCCGAGAAGACCATCGAGAAGACCACTGAGACGACCGGTACCGCCTCCAAGAGTACCACTAAGGTTTCCAAGAGAATTAGATCCTATAGCATCTTTACTTGCATCAGCAGGTTTGCTAACTGAGGGAGGAGGCGCAGCAAAGCCAGTAGCGGCAAGAGAAGCACAGATGGTAAGAATAATAAACTTGATTTGCATTGTGTAAAAAAGTATGAGATCAAACGATTGCGCTTCTTTTATGAAAAACATTGTCCTTCTTTTATACTAAAACAGATTCATGTAGACACTGTTGTCATGGCCATTTACTATTGGCTATAAACACATCTTACTATTCTTGGCTAGATCAATGTGCCTTGTTTCTATTTGTTTTGTTGATCACTTCTTCGCAAATGCATAAACTGCAGGAAGCATATTCGCTGCAGTGCAAAATCTGTCAAATTACGACTCACAAAGGATGCTCATTAATAAAATATAGCATATCTTCATTTTAGAGAGAATGTCTCTTACAATTTTTTTGCATAAACGGAAGACAACAGTTGCTGAAACATGCACAGCCCGAATGATAAATGCCTTCGTTTTTATTTTTGAGCCATCAGATAATACATCACTTATATTGTCTGAAGCTGTGATAAACGGATATATTTTACCATTTGGGGACATTAGCGGAATGGATCTCAGCTTTCCAGTCTTTGCCACCAATACAGTTGTTTTGAATGTGGGATGAACTTGATAGTGTTTGGAATGTAATTGGGTTATCGACACTAAAAACAATCTCTTGTTCATTAACTTTATGATGCTTTACAAGAACTGAGGAAGCACTTTCGTTATTATTTGTTTCAGAGTTGCCTCTTTTTACAGCTTTAGATATTGTTGAATAACTTCCTTTGTGTGTGTGTATGTGTGTGTGTGTTTTTTGGACATGTTTGCTGAACGTCCTAGAAATAGCAGATTGACTTTGGCAATCAGGGCAATTGAAATTGATGTTCATCTTTTCAATTACACTTGTTTCTAAAAAAAGGTGAGCACTACAAGCATCAGAAGATAGGCTAATGTTACAAGCGTTACCTATGATGTTGTCACCAAAGCTTTTCAATATTGACGCCATGTTAGACATGACTTTATTCAGTTTGATCAAAAGAACCATTATTCACGTGCAATTATGACATTTTTACATGTACGGCCAGCCTGAAAAGGACTGATCGCGTCTTATTAAGTAGAAATATTGCCTTTACATCAAGATGAATACAAACTACAAAAGGGTAAGTATGTACTCAACTGTAATACTGTTTTATTAAAAATAAATTTCAGAAAGAGGATAAAATTATGACATGTATGAAAAAAATAATTGGCACATATTAAAAAAAGTATTTACGCAAAGGTTAAAAATAAAATACGTGCGAAGGAGACGACATGCAAGTGAGAGTAATAAGTACCAAAGAGAGAATATAAAGAATTATACAGTTAGTTATGTAAGAAAATTATTACATACAACTTACCCCGAAGGCATCTAGATGTGTCCTAGCGATAACTAGGACGGAGAATCATCGTCT